GGCCTAGGAAACCCCTCGGACCCAGGCCCAGGAGCCAAGAGAAGACAGAGGTCCAACTCGGTTAACCGTGGGTGAGGAGTTAGGGGTTAACCATGTTCCTGAGGAGTTAGGGTTTCTCCTTATTAAAATCTGGGTTTTGTGGAAAACACAGCACGAATGGCTTATTTGTCCCTGTCTTCCCTGATTCACAAGTATCTCTTCGCTCCAGCCACACCCCCCACCCCCTCTCTGTTATCACATTCCAGTGCTCATGCTCTGCCACTGACCTGATGAAATCAGAAAAAGAAAAGCTGGCAAGTGTGGATATTTTTCTCCTCTGAGTGAGTACAAGATGAAATGCAAACATCTCCGTTGGACCTCTTAGATGCTTTGCTATCATAACAAAGCTGTGACATCAGCCTCGCTTCTATCAGGCATCCCTGAGGCTGCCAGTCTCTGCTCCCCACCCCCTGCTCCTCCTCGCTGCCCTGGGTGGAGAGCGAGCCTGCAGCGGTGATGGGGAGCCCTCTGTTAGCGGTGATCCCTGCCAGCCTGTGGAAGGAGCTGAGGCCCCGGGATTAGCCCTGCAGGATCTCGTGGCTATCAGTCCTTTTCTCTGACATCTTACCTACTGTGTTAGTTTCCTGAGGTGGTTGTTCCAAAGTGCCACAAACTGGATGGTTTTGAACGACAGAAATTTGTTGTCTCATGGTTCTGGAGGCCAAAAGCACTAAACTATGGTGCATAGTTTAAGCATGGGGGGACCATGCTCCGTCTGAAAACGGTAGGGGACTCCTTCATTGACTACTCTTCCTGGCTTCTCGTGGTCTGCTGGCCATCGCTGGGTTGCCTTGGTGCAGCTCCAGTCTTTGCCTTCCTCCCTTCATGATCACGTCACATTCTCCCAGTAGTATCTGTCTTCACTTGGCTGTCTTCTAAGGACACCAGTTATATTGGATGAGGGGCCCACCCTATTCCAGTATAACCTCATCTTAGTTAATCACATCAGCAGTAGCCTTATATCCATTTAGGTCCACATTCTGCAGTACTGTGAATTAGGACTTCAACATACCTTCTTGCGGTGACACAATCAACCCATAACGCCTGACTCGCTTGACTGTATTTCATTTCGTGGTCTTCCGTGGTAAACTTTCTTTGGCTTTGAAAATCACCTTCAGAAAGGGAAACATCAAAAGGGAAGTCTTACGTTTTCCAAGTTTTGATTGCTTTATTTTTTGAGTCTACTCCATTTTTCCTTTTATCATAAATGTTCAATACCAGACTGTTTGACATTGAGCAGACAACACTCATTTCTCCCCAGCTCTTAGAGAGGTCCCGAGTACCGGATATTTACATAAGGCACTGATTTGGAAGCTTCCCTTTTGGACATGACCTTCACAGGGCTCTATGAAGACCGGCATGATTCGACCCTGCCTTGCCTTCCACACGTACCTGCAGCAACTGCTCTTGGTCTGGAGCATTTGGCTTTAAATATGTTTCTTGTCAACAGGATGGGCACCTTGTGTTTATCTCTTTCATTCATTCTTCTATAATGTTAATGTCTAACTTATTGCAACCGCAGTGCACTCTGCATGAAGAAGTAGGTGCAATTGGCTTTCATGGATCAAGCACAGAGTGGCCTCTCTCAGGGATCGTAGCAAACAAATCCCCAGGCCCGGCTTGCTCACATCACTGGGCTTCAGTGCCTCATGGGCTATATTTGACCTCCAAAGGACAATTTTAGAAAACCAGAGAAAATTAAAATTGGCATGAAGAAGATGGCTCAAAGGAGGTGCAGCCTAGCCTAGTAATTAGTGGCAAAAATTGATGAGACTGATCATTTGCTGGCTATGAACTTGGGCAAGTTACTTAAGCATCAGTTTCATTCTCATCTGTGAATAAAATATATTATAGTATCTACCTTTTAAGTTTGTTGGGAGGAATGAGCTAATACTGGAGACATGGTCAGCACGGTACTTGGCCCATAGTAAGTAGCAGCCGTTGTTATTAAAGTAAAGAGCTCCTGTTACTTCCCCCTTTATTTACACATTGCTTGCTCTAATTTCTTTTCCAACTGGTTTCAGAATCAATTTTTCTTTGGGGGCATCTGAAGGTCAAGTTTGAGAAAAGGAAAGCAACTTCATGTGTTTAAGGGATGTGGATGGAAATCTGATTAAACTTTTTTTTTTTAAAGGAAGACTTTGACAAGTATTCGTGCAGCGTCCTACACTAGCACTGACATTTTGTTAGGGTTGTAGAATTAGTGAAAATAAACTGTTAAATATTGGTTCGTAATTTAAATGTCAAGGAAGAAAGCCTGCAATGAAGCAGGCAATGAAAACGGTTTTGTTTGTCTGCAGAATCACCAACATTCCTGAAACAATGAGCTCATCAAATTCTCCTTCCACGCCCATAAAGAATCTAGGACTTGTTTGCTCATTTTTGCTTTGGTTTCCTGGGAAGCTGAGACTAAATACAGCAGTGGTTTTTAAATGTTAGTGTGCATGAGAATCATCTGGAGGGCTTCGTTTAAAACACAAATCCTGAGTCTTAGCCCCATGGCTGCTGATTCTAAGACTGGAGAGGAGCCTGAGAATTTGCTTGGTTAATAAGCTCCCCGGTACTGCCGGTGCTAACACTCCTAACTGACCCAGGAACCCCGCTTTGAGAACCACTCTGTGGAATCCTGGTAGACATTGTGATATGGTGCAGAGCACAGGGCATTTCAGACACAAGGAAATGGGTTCAAATTCTGGGGCTGTCCTTAGTAGCAGAGTTATGTTAAGCAAATAACTTCTCCAAAATTGAGTCTCGTCCATTTTTAAATGGAAATACTAACACCCGCTCCTTGTTAAGACCATTGTAAAAGTTATATAATTGTCTAGAAAGGACTTTGTTCTCTCCCTGGCATGTGTTATTAATTTCTTTTACTCTAAGATTTTTTTTTTATAAGTCATGTAAGTATTTCTGAATGTTCTGGGCAGTCAAGTCCATCAAATAAACAATACTGCTCATTAAATAACTGAAGCACTTTGAAACCACAGCGGTGCTACTTCAGGATGCCAGTGCCATTTTTTTCAGTCTAGGTAGGGGGGGTGTGTGTGTGTTGTTTAGTTTTTTTCTTTTAATTAAATGAATGTTTCCTTCCCCTTTGTTCTTACTAGGTATCAAATTGCATAATAGATTGGGGATTTCTTTCTTCTCTAGTTTTGCACATTGGAATTTCAGCATAGTTTGATGCTTAGGTAGTACAGGGCCGTGGAAAGGTCACTGCTAGACTGGAAACCCTCAGTTTTTGTATTTCATGAATAATTAGAATTGGACTACAGTTTCGTCTTTTTGTCTTCAGAAGCAACCATATTTACCTGCATGGCATCAAATCACCTGGGGATCTTCCCAAATGTGTCAAATCCACCATAGCCCCTTATTGCTAAGGACTATGATTCAGTGTGTCTATGACAGGGCCTGGTCACAGGCATTTCAAAGAATCACTCCAGGCAAGTCATAGGCCAGATTTCAAGAAAGACTAGGAAAAGGCTGCAATGGTCATGACTGCTTTCAAATTCAGATGTTGCAGCTCACGTCACTCTGTGGACTTGAGCAAATTCCCCACCCTTCTTAAGCCTTGGTATCTTACATGTGAAATGTGTCACTTCTGCTTATTCATCGGGACCGTTATGCAGGTTATATTCAATGTATATAAAGAGCCTACTGCAGTGCTGGGCATGAAGCACTCAAATGCCATAATATTGTAGTGGTTCCTCTAAAACGCAACACTTTTGGAAGCTGGATACACAAGACAAACACAGAAAGTCCATAGTTGGGTAGAATTGAAGTAAAGCCCGGTGGTTCTGTGAATCCATAAAATATTAAGCACTGGAGAAAGAGAATTCCCCAATGAGCATGTTGAAGTGACTGATTCCTTACAGTGCCTTGAGATCAGGCACATTCACATCTAGTTTCTGACTTGCTCTAATTTTTTAGAATCAGAACTATTAATGATACTGTAAGATTAAATGATGTTTAATTGTATTGAAACAAATTGTTCAATCTAATCTATTAAAGCAACAGACTATCATTTTTCACTGCGCCGGAACATTAATTTTCTATCACGTTAATGTGACAAGACAGTGTCTTTTCATGAAAACATTACACACTGCTGGAGAGCCTAGATGAAGCCATAGTAACACCAAATAACGGAACCAATACTCTTCAGTAAGAGGGTACGGAAATTAGTTTAAAAAACAGCATTATTACTCTAAAGATAGATTTTTATTCAAAGAGTTAGAAAATACCATATAAATACCTGTTTACTTGGATTTTTCTCAATGTCTTGTGGCTGTTCTATAGTCTCTTAAGCAGTTTTAAGATATTGTATTCTTTCTGTGGGGTGGTCTTTCCCAGCTTCCCGACGTGTTTCTAACTTATGTGTCTAAAATTAGTATCGCAGCATTTTTCATTTCCATGCTATTCCTGAAGATCTATGGCCATGGGACTTCTGAAGAGAATTTATCAGCCACAATTGCACATCCATTAAACAAAGCTTAACAACAGGCATCCCCGATGGGGTTTTCATTTATGGACCCTTTAGTGTAGGGTTCCCCAAGAGCCTTGGTCAACATTCATTAACACGTCTTGAAGTCTGTAAAGCACAATTACTTCTGTGCGAGATGCAGCAAAGAGCTCTGAACTGTCACTTAAAAATAAAGAGGATGCAGGAAATTCCCGCCTTCTCCTTGCTTTGCTGCAGGTGGCATTTTACAGCAAATATTCTTCAGAGCTACCAGGATTAATACAATTTATATTTCTAATTTGTTACACAAGGGGAAAAAAGGAGAGGCCTCATTATATATGTGGTAGATGTCATATGGCCTGCATCTCCCGTGAACCCCTCCTGAAGGGACAGGAAGGTACAAATTATGGGTTTGTTATGTTTCCAATATGTACATGGGACTATGCATATATAATAGAAACAAAGGTGTCATTTTGAACTACTGGGACTTTGAAATATTTCCTTCTAGGTGGGAAACCGAGGGACAGTGCGAGATTATCCAGGCTTTAGCGCATCCGTGGATGCTGAAGCGATTCGTAAGGCAATCCGAGGAATTGGTGAGTAATGCTTTACAATTCCTTTCTTAATGTTGAAGCAAATTAGATTATATTTTAAAATCTAAAAGTGACATGGTTCAGTTTTCCCAGGTTGGCTTACTCAGAGAACTTGTGAGAGACTTAGAATTGTGAAATAATGAGGAAAATTATACGGAGCCCAGTTTTATTGAATCTTAAAATTTGCTATATTTACTTAATAGTAAACACTACTATCACCATTACTGCTACCAGCAATAATTATAGTCATCATTATAAATTATTACAGAGATGGCCCCTACCAGTTCTTTCAGAATCTCATTCCCTAACAATACATACTATCCTAAATTAAAGTTTATTTCCATGAAACTTGTAATTTCATAACTACATATGTATGTACATATTGTTTTGCATGGTCTCAAACAGTATAAATTGAAATCATACTGCATATATTCTTCTGCAATTTTTTATACCTTAACATTATATTTTTGAGATTTATCCATGTTGATATGTTTAGCCCTAGTTCATTAATTTTAACTGCATAATAGTCTATTGAATTACTATATCATAAGGTGGGAATATTGATGGAATGTTTAAGTTGCCTACAATTCTTTTCTATTACAATATAAAAATGCCACATTGAATATTCCTGCTTATGTCTTGTATGCACATTTACTAGCATTTCTCTAGAATAAAACAATTGGAATTTCTAGGTTGAAGATATTCATCTTCAAATTAAAAATTTTGCCAAACTGCTCTCTGAAATGAATATACAAATCAGCATTCCTTCAGGAATACATGAGATGTCCTCTTGCTCAGTATTCTCATCAATACTTGCTAAGCTCATACTATTCAATTTGTCCAATTGAGTGGGACTAAAATTATACTTCATTCTGCATATGTGTTTGTTTCCTCTCTCCTCCACATCTGCATGACTGATGAGGTTAAGTATCATTTCTTATTGCTTCTTCTTCTATGATTGACTTCCTAATATCTTTTATCCATTTTTAGTTGGATTGGCAGGATGTTTTTAAAAATAAATTCTGGATATTAAAACTTTTTTTAAATTACAAGCCATGAGTGTATCTCCTTCCAATTGGTGGTTCTCTTCTAACATTGGCTATAGTAAATTTTATTCAGTATACGGGTCTGAAATGCTTGAGAGAGGTATGGACCAGAGAGGAATATTCATATTTTAGAGTCAGAGGTTTGGGTCCAGGTTCCTGCTATACCAATGGTCAAAACTGTTGCCTTCTGGAGATATCAGTGTTCTCTCACAGGAAACAGGTTCATGATGCACATCAGCTTCTCATGGCATTAATCAGTGATCTTCCTGTGTAGTCATATGCTAAAATAGGCTCCATAAAGCATCTATCTGAACTAGATCCTAATGACCTGGTGTATGAGTGAAGGGGCGTAACTTCATCCTCAAGGTTACAGAGACCCATTATGATTTCAACCAAGGGATCAATAGGCTCAGACACACTTTTTAAAAATTTAATTAAGCAGTAGTATAAGGTATGAATTATAAGGGGGTCAAGATAGGAGGCTGTTGAAGTTTCTGGGCAATACAATGCGTGCACAATGGCAGAGGAGAGGACAAATTCAGGAGATGCAGAGGATTGCTACAATGTAGGGAGGAAAGAGGAGAAAGGCGTATAGGGTGACTCTCAGAGTTTTAGTTTGGATGACTACATACCTAATGTGTCATTGATGAGGGAATAGAATGAAAGAAAAGTTAGAAAGAACTCAGTCTGGGGCATGCTGAGTTTGAGATACTTGTGCAGTTGGAAGTGCCTAGTCATGCACAAACACAGATGCCATTACAGGTCCAAGTTAATAATCAGACTCACGGGACACAACTAGGCTTGAGTCTAATCCGTTGTTGTCTTAAGTGTATAGAAGAATACAAGACCAGAGATACGGTGGGGCAGCACCTTTCAATGGGTGGCTCAGTGGCTAACTAAGTGCACAGTTTCTTTTTGCCCCCATCAAGCAGGAGTGCCCCACAGGCCACATGCGCCCAGGACCGTTATGAACGGGGCCCAACACAAAATCGTAAATTTATTTAAAACATTATGAGATTATTTTGTGTATGATTATGTGTCACAATGTATTTAATGTGTGGCCCAAGACAACTCTTCTTCCAGTGTCATGCAGAGATGCCAGAAGGTTGGACACCCCTGATTGTAGAGCATGTGCCAGTGATTGCCAAGGATGTGTATAGCCAAGATATGTGGGGGTCACCTCAACACAGCAGACTTCAGCCTAGCATTCCAATTGATCTTTTATATTATTCTAGTCATGCAGGCCCAACATATGCAGGGCAACTCATAGCTCCCCCTCTATTGCTTAGCAATAGAGGGTATAGCCCTCTATTGCTAAGGAGGCTAACATGACCCCCATAGTATCTTAACACTGTAGTTACCAAGAAACTAGTAATCTTGAGGGGCTTTTTGGGCAGGCCAGCATCAGTCCTGGCCTGATGTTATTCTTTAGTCAAGCAGTGAAGTACATAGGTGTGGGATGCCTGGGAGAGGTATGGACCAGAGAGAGATAGATGTTTCGGAGCCAGTGATTTGGGTTCAGATCCTGCTGCACCACTTCAAAGCTGCATGACTTTGGCAAATGAGATGTTTTCCAATACTGTCTTCATCTTTAGGAAAGCGTGATCATACCTACTATCCAGGGCCCCATGAATATTAAAGACGACAATGAATAAAAGGGGCCTAATGCATGGTAGGTTCTTTTTTTCTAGAGAAAAGGAGACTTTGATATCAAGTATGAAGGCAAGAAAGAGAGAAAAGGTGACAAGATAGTAAGTGACCTCATTTGGGTGAAAATACCTAGTCCAAAGCCAGTATGTTCCTTGTCAGAGGAATACTCAGGCCATGATGGTTTTCTTCCCCCAAAAGTATCGAAATAAAGTCAATTTCCTTTTCCAAAAGCCAAGCAAACAAAGAAATTTCAACCTGGTAATAACTTGAAAATTAAAAATTAAAATGCCTTCCTATCTGCATTTATTTCAGACCATTAATCACTTTTCTTTTGTTCATGACAGATATTAAGCATCCTTGGGTTGATGGTGAGTAAAATTATTTTTGTTTCATTTAGGAACTGATGAGAAAACGCTCATCAGCATTCTTACTGAGAGATCGAGTGCACAGCGGCAGCTGATTGTGAAGGAATATCAAAAAGCATACGGAAAGGTAAATTTTGATTAACATAGGCAATAAAGAGGTAGTCGCTAATGGGCCAGGGATGTTCCCATTGGATTATGCCCACAGATCTTTTGTTTGAATCTGAGTGTGACAGAAAGTACCCTGTGTATCCACTCAACAGCCTGGAGCCCTGGTTTTGCCCTTAACTGGTTGAAGAGCCTTGGGCATATTATTTGATCTTTCTGGGCCACAGTTTCTTTATCTGTTGATTAACGAAGGTTGTCTTTGATGGGTGGCTCTAAACCAGAAATGATTTTGCTCTCTAGGGAATATTTGGCAATGTCTCCAGACATTTTGATTATCACAACTGGTGGGTAGAGGTCAGGGATGCTGTTAAACATCCTACAATGCACAAGAAAGCTCCCTCCCCCCAATAAAGAATTATATGACCAATTATCTGATAGGTGCTCTCATAAATGAGCTTTAATTTCTTTCAACTTTAACATGTGTATGTAATTATAGGCTTAATTCATTCAGGAAATGAAAACTTACTAAGTACAAGAAACTATGTTAAGAACTGTACAAGAACATGTGTCTTTTTCTTTACACGCTTTATTTGTTCAATAATAAACTACTCTGTCAGGAGCTGGGTATGACTGTGAGTCAGAAGGTGCCCTAGACACTGGAGATTCACTGGTATAAAAAGCAGATCCTCTCTTCTTTCATGGAGCTAACATTCTATTAGAAAAATAATAACTAAGTAAATAAAATAAATTCAGATATTGGCAAGTGCTATGAAAGAGTTAAAATGGGGTAACTGATAGAGAATGACTGGTGAATGGCTCCTTTAGATCAGGTGGTGAAGAAATGTCAGGGATTGGTTGTGACCTCACTTTCCACTGAGACTGAATACCAAGGATTCTGCTCTGCTTGGGCGGAAGAGAAGAGCATTTCAGACAGAAGGTATAGCAAATGCCAAAGCCCCAGGGCAAAATCAAGGTGGGATTGTTTAAGCAACAGAAAGAGTTCTAATTGGCAGCAGTGTAGAAAGTCAAGGGGAGAAGAGGGAAGAGATGAGGATGGAGAGAGGTTTAGAACATGCTGGGCCTTGGAATCTTGGTATGGAGTTTAGATTTTATTCTAAGAACAATAGAGAACCACTGGGGGTTAGTAAGCAAGGGAATAATATGGAGTAACAAAGTTTTAAAGATGATATTAGCTGTCGTGGCTAATGAACTGTAGAGGGCAAAGAGTGGTAACAGATCAGTCAGGCTAGTGGGTCCAGGTGAGAATAGAAAGTGTCTCGGGGCTCTGCAAAGGCTGCTCAGACGGCACTTCCTGGAAGTTTCTCCAAGCCCCCAGATCCCACTGAGAGCCCCTTCTCAGACACTTAACCTTCATACTTTATCAGATACTTTGGATACTATATTGAAATTTTATATTTGAATATTTCTATTTTTTCCATTAAAACTTAATGTCCTATCAGTAAGCATTGTGTCTAACTGACCTTTAAGTGCATAGCGTAGAGCAGCAGCCCAATGAACGTTGGTTGAATTAAATGAATTGCCAGGCTTATAGGCAAGGCAGCACACTCATGAATAGGGAACATGAATGATCCATTGGCGTTTCAGGGTTTGCAGAATATGGAGGAAGGATGGAGGTGAAAAGTGACACGCATTTCTCACAGTGAGATAGAATGAGAGCATGTGAAATAAGATTCAGTTGGGAAGCCTTGGCTTGAGGACAGATGGTGGAATTTAGCATTTAGAAAGGAAACACCCTGTGGCAATTAAAGCAGAGCTAGTGACTTGTGGCTCCAATCCATCTATTTGCATGTAATTTAAATGCAGGAGCATGCCCCCACCCCTTGTCCCAGTGAATGGTAGATAGACATTGGTCTGTATCCACATTGTCGTTGCAGTTTGGGAGGCGGCCAGCCTCTGTTTCCGAGTTGAAAATAATCAAGAGCAGGAAACGTATTCAATAACACTTCCCTGAATATTGGAACTAGAAACGATATTACCTGCCTTTAGGAAGAGTGATGGACCATTCGTATATAATATGTGTAAACAGCATTAAAGGACAATATCAATAAGTAATGCCTGCCTCATTGCCACAGTTAGGTTTTCCCTGCTGTTGTTACCAGAAACTGCTTTTGATGCTTCCTACTTCTACACTCTTAGGAGAGGCAAAGGACCAACCACTGTCTTCCCTTTCCTCCTCTTTGAAGCTCTTTGGCAGTCACTGCAAAGCAAGACAGGAAGAGAACGGCTAACAGTGAAGCTGGGTGTGAATTACAGGGCTCCTCCTCCTCTTCCTCTTTCCTCACCCCAATCCAAGCACTGAGAGTATAGAGGACCTAGGAAAAGCATTTGAATACACAGTTCCTATTTGTGGCATTCACAGAACCTCCCTCCACTGGCTTTTCTTCAGCAAAGAACATTTTGGAAACAATCATAAAATTCAGAATAATAGCCATAGAAATATTTTCACCATACCTGTTCATTCCCTGTGGATGGGCATGTTTTTGTCTGAATCGTTACATATGTTCATCTTTTACTAAGTGACTTAGAGAAAGAGAAAGGAAGGATATGTCGCACTTACCTTTCAAGGGTTTTTTATTTTAGGATCTGAAAGATGATTTGAAGGGCGATCTCTCTGGCCACTTTGAGCATCTCATGGTGGCCCTTGTGACTCCGCCGGCCGTGTTTGATGCGAAGCAGCTGAAGAAATCCATGAAGGTATGACCCTTCTTATGCCTGGAATTTGACTAAGTCCTCAAAAATAATGACTTCCTTCCAGCTCACTCTTGAGCTATGGGTGTAAATGTGATAGATTTGGATGTCATTTTGATTCTGTGCTCTCTAATTGGTAGAACAACCCTGAAATCCGAAGCAGTTGTGGAACCTTGAGCCCACATGATCCTGGGCTGAAAGGACATTGTCATATTTTTTTTTGTAATGATTAATTATTTTTTAATTTAATCTTTATTGTATTTTTCCATTACCATTTCTCTCCTTTATACCCACTTCCCCCAGCAATCACCACACTGTTGTCCACATCCGTGAGCCCTTTTTCCTTTTTCGCTTAATCCTCCACCCCCTACATTCCCCCACCACTAGCTCTCATGTGTTCTTTGTCTATGAATCTGTCTCTATTTTGCTTGTTGTTAGTCAGTTTGTTCATTAGATTCCACATATGAGTGAAATCATATAGTATTTGTCTTTCTCTGGCTGGATTATTTCACTTAGCTTAATGTTCTCCAGGTCCAGCCATACTGTTGCAAAGGGTAAAATTTTCCTTTTTACAGCTGAGTAGTATTCCATTGTTTAAATGTCCCGTAGTTGTTTTATCTACTCATCTGTTGAGGGACACTTGGGCTACTTCCGTATCTTGATGATTGTAAATAATACTGCAATGAACATAGAGGTGCTTATGTTCATTCAAATTAGTAGTTTGAGTTCCTTCAGATATATTCCCAGAAGTGGGATCACTGGGTCAAAAGGCAGATCCATGTTCAGTTTTTTTGAGGTAGTTCCACAGTAGCTGCACCAGTCTGCCTTCCCACCAACAGTGCAAAAGGGTAAATTTTGTTTGTTTTTTGACCTGAGGAGTCAAATTCTCTATTTTGTTGTCGTAGAGAGTGAATGACACCATCATCAACCTCCAACTGCTTAGGCCAAGGACCTCATATTATATTTGACCCCTTGCCTTCCGTGATTCTTCAGAGCTCCCAAATTGACCTGCAGGCACATTAGCTCCATTCCAAGATTTATCAAAAATGAGAGCACATCTCCCAAAATCCGTTGCTAATATTCTGGTTTAAACATTATCATCTCTTGTCTGGACTATACCAATGGCCTCCTAATTGGTCCCTTTGCCTCCATTTTTGCACATCTCAAATTCATTCACACAGAATAGCCAAAATTATTTTTACAATGTTATTTTTAGAATCAATTATATTATTCAGCTGCATAAATTGCCACTGGATTTGAATACTTAAAATGCTTACCATGACCTTCATTATCCAGCACAGTCTGGCTCCTGCCTATCTCCGTGACTGTTTAAAATTCTGCCTGTATCAGTCACGGTTCCCCAGAGAGGCAGAACCAGTAGGCAAGAGATATATTTTAAGAGCTTTATTGCAAGGAATTGGTTACACAATTATGGAACTGACAAGACAAATCTAAAACCTGAAGGGCAAGCTTGAACTCTTAGCACAAGCTGGAGCTGCTTCCCACAGGTAGAACTTTTTGTTCTTCAGAGATACCTCGGGTCTGCTGTTATGGCCTTTGACTCTATAATTTATCCTGAATAAGATAATTTATCCAAATGATCATGGATTTCAGTTATATCTGTAAAGTGCCTTTGTAGCAACACCTAATTACTACTTGGTTAAATAACTGAGGGCTCTAACCTGACCAAGTTGACGTGTAAAACCATCACACTCTGCCTTCCCTTCTGTCCTTTCCTGACCATCCCAGTTCAACAAAGACCCAGTTTAAGTCCGGCCATTATATCTTCATCCAAGCTAAAAAGAGTAATGAATAATGAAGGGTTCATCTCTGATCTTTGAGGACTATCAGAAATTGTATGTAGTACTTCACATACATTCCATTGATGAGAATTTAGTTATATGGATAAACCTAGCTCTAAAGGAAGCTGAGACATAGTATTTACTTGGAGAGCTATGTGCTAAGTTGAAAATTTGGGTTTCTGTTACTAAGCAAGGAAGATAAAAAATACATTAGGTCTATTCAACTTTGCTGTGAAACCAAAACTGCTCTAAAAAATAGTGTATTTAAATTTTTTAATTAACTGATAACTTTTAAAGGAGAGATATGGGGGCAACTAGGAATCTGCCACAGAGGGGCAGAACTCAGGCTTTGTTCATTTGCTCCATTGGTCTTGTTTGGTCAAGTCCTAGTGTAAATGGCTTCTCCGGGAGTCACGGCATGATTCAGTAATTTCAATGTAGGGCAAGGCTCAGGGGTAACTAGTTCCTAAACCAAGTGGTCCTGTTTACATGACTGAGGCTTTAAAATCTCCCTATATGGAGAGGATGATACATGCTAACCAACCTAGTTCAGTAGTGTAGGGCTGACCCCATTCAGAAGAATTGCAGAGCCCTTCCTAAATATAATGGCATCTCTGAATGCTTACTTCTGATCTTGAATGATGTAGGCTCTTCCTTTTATTTGATTGACTTTTGTATTAGAATTATTTGATTGACTTTTGTACTAGAGTATAATATTTTTTAGAAAATTTTGATGTCATTTATTGCACATGATTCATATTATTTAATACTAAATTATGAAATATTAGAAAACCGCTTCAGATCAATATACGACCATCTGTTGATTATCCAAAACTGTTCTTTTCATCCACATAAAACAAGGTATTAAGAATGAAATTCCATTGTTTAAGTGTTCTAAGAATAGATTTCCGTTTTAGGGCGCTGGAACAAATGAAGATGCATTGATTGAAATCTTAACCACCAGGACAAGCAGGCAAATGAAGGAGATCTCTCAAGCCTACTACACAGGTAATCTTATTCTCTGCTTACCTTTACCGCCATTCACACATGTGTGAGCTAATGTTGCTTTTTCCAGAAACCCACCAATCTCTTCTTCATGAAGCCTTTGAGAAGGCAAGACATAAAAAGGAGAATCCATCCTAAAATGGCCTATGGTCTGTGGATTTTCAGAGAAAGATTGAGTACGATTGAGCTAGAAACTGCTATACAGCAATGGCATTAATACTTCACCTTTTGCTCTCAGCAATCGCTGCTTAATTAAACCAACCATTTTCATCAATGTAAGAGACTCCAATCATTGTATGTTAATATTATATGTTAAAAACCACTTAGATCAGCCTCATGATTGTTGGTGTGGGAAGTTAGAGGAGCCATGTAGAGAATGTGTTGAGCACGTGGGTTCAGTGTGATTAGCTGAAGTCCTAATAGTCTGTCAGCTATGTGAGAATTAGAAAGCCCCCGCGGTGCGGCTCTGATGCTAACTCCCCGGGGTTAGTGTGGCTTCACAAGTGAAAGCACAGGTGACCCTTACTTCAGAGACCAGCCCCAAGTCCATGTGTTCCCAGGCCACAGGCACTTCTAACCGAATGGCTACAACTTCAGGGCTTCTCACTATTCCTTCAGGTTCAGGAGCTCACTAGAATGACTGACAGCACTCAAGAAAGTGCTATACTCCCAATTAGAGTTTTACTATAAAGAATACAAACTGGGACTGGTCAAAGGAAGAGATGCATAGGGAGAAGTCTAGGAAGTTCCCAAATGCAAAGCTTCCACGTCCTCAGGATGCATGTCCCTGCCAGCACTTTGATGCATAATTACCTACCAGGGAAGCTCACTCGAGCTTTGGGCTCCATGACATGGGCTTGACTGAATGAATGGCCACATGATTAATCTCCATCTCTGGTCCTCATCCTCCCCCTAGAGGTCAGGCCAATATCATGTGGCTCAAAACCTGCATCCTCTAATCACATGGTTGGCCCTTCTGGTGCAGCAGCCCCCGATCACTCAGATCCTGAGTCACCTTGTCAGCGAAGCCTCAGGTGTGGTTCATGGAACCTACCATAAGTAACAAAGACATTTCTATTATTTGGGAAATTCCAAGGATTTAGAGGTGACTTCCCAGGAACTAGGGACAAATACCAGCCCAACTCCATATTATACAGCAACCTCTGTAACCCTCTCCAAGTACCTTAGCGGAGGGCCATGGTGTCTGTGTTTGTATATTTGGGCACTTGTTCAGTGGGTGAAGCCTAAATAAGAGATATAGTGGCCCCCAGGTGGTTGTTAGAGAGACTACTTCAAGGAATTCTCATTAGAAGGTAAATACCTCAGCGATAGGTGACTGTTTGATTGCTGATGCATTAATCAGGATCTAGTCAGAAAAACAGAGGTAACACTTGGTGTTTTAATGGAGAATTTAATGGAGAGACTTGCTTAAATATCTTTTGGAGGACTGAAAAAAGCAAAAAGAACACACAGGTGTAGCACCAAGGTCTAACCCCCAGGATGGGACAAGAAAGCAAAGAGGCTGGCGTTTTCAGATACTAGAAGCGCAGGAAGCACAGAGGAAAAGGCACCGTCTTGCAGGTGTTGATGCCTCAGGGGCTCAGAGGAGAAGCTTAAGGGGCTGGAGTTCAGATCTCTGCAAAGGGTTCCATTTGGCTGTAGCTGGTACCCCCACAGGGGTGCAAAGGGACTTATTCTATGAGCCTGGGGACAACTGCTGCTATCAGGGAGAAAGCCCTTCACTGGTTGACATTGACCTGAATAGCAAGCAAATAGCAGGTTCTTCTTCCCTCCTCCTGCCTTCCAGTCTCCTACTAGCCGCCCCCCACCCCACCCCTTCCCTGCTGGTGGAACCTAACAGGCTGATAGGGTGGGTACAAAAGAGAAATTTAATTTGTAGAGTCCCAAACCCAACTCAACAAAGGAAGTATAACAAGGTAAATTTGGAGTAGATGGGATCGTTGTTTAATGGGCAAAGTGAGTATGTTGTAGGTATTTAAAATTTTTCGCTTCATCAGTTCAACAAGATTTACATTAAAAAATCATCAGAGCCAAGGACTGTTTACCAAGACCCCTTGTTACTTCCTGGTGTTTCTTAGAACAGTCACTGCTCCGTGCATTGATCTGCACTAGGATGGCTCCCTGAAGTCCAGCACTGATGTACAAACATCAGTAAGGATGTTTACTAGGATGTAAGCTCAATGAAGGTGGGATTTTTGTCTATTTTGTTCATAGCTGTAGCTCCAGTCCCCAGAACAAGAGAAGGCAAATTCAAATATTTATTGAACTGATATCCTCATGATCAAGACTGGGATCTTAAAAGCCACGCAAAAGTTCTAGCATTGAGAACTGTCGTGTAATAAATATGACAATAGTTAAAGTTACCAGCTGCTGGGCTATCTGTGTAAATTAGGCTCTCTATCAGACTATAAGGAATGGAATTGCATGTTGGTTACCTTGGTTAGTAGAAATTAATGATAAACAAAAAGTAGAGAAAGGAAATAATTTCAATTGTGCATAGCCAAGCTTTATGGGGATGTGGACACAGCAGCACTACTCTAGGGATTTGGCTATCTTGTCACCCCCTCAGCAGCATGCATGCATTGCACCCTGGGCCAATGTTTTCATTACAGGAACTCTTCCTCCTTCCTTTCTGCTTCTGCTGTTTTTGACACAGCCGAGTGACTTCTCTTCCCTTCCACACAGTATCTGTCTACTCAAAGCTTGTATTGGGTTGGGCAAAAAGTTCATTTGGTTTTTTCTGTAAGGTGGCTCTAGTAGCACTTGGTTGTCTTTAACTTCATTTGAAACAATTTTGTTACATTATATTGTGGCAGCTGTCATATCAGTGTGCATTAAAAAAACTTATCAAAGTTGGTGAATTTTTTGTAGCCATTTTAATATTGAAGATGGAAGAAAATATGTGACATTTTGGCATATTATGCTTTATTATTTCAAGAAAGGTAAAAACAACTGAAACACACCACAAAGATTTGTGCAGTGTATGGAGAAGGTGGTGTGACTGATCGAATGTGTAAAAAGTGGTTTGCAAGGTTTCATGCTGGAGATTACTTGCTGGACAGTGCTCCATGGTTGGGTAGACCAGTTGAAGTTGACAGCAATCAAATAAAGACATTGTTTGAGAACAATCAATATTATACCACGTGGGAGGTATCTGACATAACTCCAAATATCCAAATCAATAAAGTTATTGGTGAAAATGAAAAAAAAATGCATCTTTTATTTTACAGGAAAAAAACCATACGGTCTTTTTAGCCAACCCAATATTTGCCCATGACTTCTGGTTACCCTTGGCTTATGTTTTATGCCTTATTTCGGGGAGTCTTTTCACTTTTTTGCTACCATACTGCCTTTGTCTCTTTTTCTGTACAACTCACACTAAGGGAGAAGATTCAATGGGCTCAGGAAAGCACTCTTCAGGAGAGAGCATTATTTCAGACAACATTCCCCCAGGTCATCTCTTATGCCGCCGGCCACCTGTAGTCAGATGCCAACCCTGTTGCAGTCAGCTGTAGCGAGAGTGCTGGAGTCATATAATGTGAAATGCTGACCCATGCATGAGAAATCCGTCAAAGGAGGCTATCCACTTGGCCCGCATACAGGAACTAGGCATTTTGTTTCATATTCTTATTTCTGGCAAGATATTTGGGGTAAAGGGAGGTATGGGAGTCTACACACAAGATGATTATAAGGTCTCATCTAGGGGATTCTCTAAAATATAGAATACTTCCTCAAATTCAAACAAATGAGAGCTTTATTCTTTGGCTTGATATTTTTAAATTAAATATTTTCTAACTAAAGTGAGGTATAGACGTAACAATACCGTGACTATTAGGTAAAATGATACCTACCTAATGTTATTATTACTAAGATAATTTATATCCACAGTGAATTTTGCTTATTTGAATTGCTTAGGAAAAATTATGGGTTTCATAAAAAGAGACTAAATCACTCTGGAAGAGTTTCCGTCTCAACACAGTTCTTGCTATTAGATAACCTCCTTTTACTTTCTATAATTGTCTTTTATTGATTTAAAATGACAAACATTCATACGACTAATTTATAAAACCTTGAGAATGACCCAGGCAGAGTTCAAACAGGTGTCAGCTACATCCAGGTCTGGGGCTCCAAGAGGATCGCTGTGAGGCACGGGTGGAGCAGAACAGGGATTTAAAATCAGGGGACACACACTTAACAAACTATGCAAAAGGGGCTCCAGTTAGTACTAAAATATGTGAATACAATTGTCATTTGTTATGGAAAAATAATACATTTTAGGGCAGCTTTTTTTTTTTTTTTAGAGCTATCAAATAATACAACCAGCTGTATATATCAATAAAACAGAAAAACTACAGTGGCTCAGATAAAATGCATGTATTTGTCCCATATGAAGAAGAGGTCTGGAGATAGGCAATTCCAGGACTGGCATGATAGTTCCTCAAAACTTTCAGGAATCCAGGCCCCTTCCTGCTTGCTTTTATGCCATCATTAAGATGTCGTCCTTATCCTCATAGGCCAAGATCGCTACCTGGGCTCCAGGTATCAATCTGCAGACCAGGCACTAGGATGGAGGAAGGGGCTAAGATGGTCATGAGCCATCCGTTACAGAGATTTCTCAGCAGTGCCACATTTGTCTGCCTACATTTCACTGACAAGAACTTAGTCATGGAGCTGTACTTAGCTAAGAGACAAGTTGAGAATGTAGTCTCTAAGCTGTGTCTTGCTCAAGATGAGGCTTCTGTTTCTATGGAAATAATTAGAGAAATTGGAAGGCGAACTAGCAGCTAGCCCACCCAAGGTTTCCCACTGTATGGGTATATGGTCCCCAGTGCCACTGTCAGATGAAATGGACCAGGATTTAATCAAGAATGACGATTCTTTCTGTTCCTGCACATCTACCACAACACATACTGTGGTAGTACTTATGAGAATTATTCATCTCAGAGGAATACAGGAAGTATCACCAAGAAGTTGTTTTTTTTTAAAGCAAGACATATTTTATCAGGTACTCATTTTTGCTAAGATTGACCTTTAAGCTTTTCTCTGGTTTATAATAATATTGTTCAGTTTGTCAAGGCTTAATTTCATTTTTATTTGGTTTCAGTGTATAAGAAGAGCCTTGGAGATGACATTAGCTCTGAAACATCTGGTGACTTCCGGAAAGCTCTGTTGACTTTGGCAGATGTAAGGTTTATTTTTTTTATTTTTAAATTCTTCAATAAGCTGCATGTTTAATAATAATTATTAGGGAGTTAAAAAATAACCAAACTGAGACAATGAGCTTGCAGTTTTCCTTATGAAATGATTTGCTCACTTTACATTTGTATTGCCACCAAGCAGTATAATGTTTAACCACAGTCATAAAAGTATAACATAATCATGCAATAAAAATCATTTGTGGTTAGTACATGGATTAAAAGTATTTAGATCAAGTTTCACAGTTCATTAGAAATGTCCTGGTAATTTGTCTGACATAAAATAATTTTCCATCGTAAATGTTCATTTCCATCCTAAGTGTCTCCATTTTGAGAACATGTTTATTTCCTTCTGGACTCCAAAGAATTTATTTTTCTTTTGTTAGCATTTAAATTAAATATGAAACATGATACAGAAGAATTATCTTCAGAGATGGGTTTATAAGTCTCAAGATTAAAAAAGAAAATGACGTGCTGCAACCTCATTCTTGTACCTTTGGAAGAGAGGCTACATCTTTCACCACCATGTGACTAAATGAGGCCACACTCTGCTGTCTCTTTTTAGGAGGCTCATGGCTTTATAATAAAGGTGGCAAGGTCAAGGATATGCTATAATCACAGATGTGTGTTAGCATACATAACTGAATAACTTAGGCCCGGTCTCACTGGCCTCTTTCAGCCGACTTACACAGCCCGTTTGTGTGAGGACACCCCCGCAGTGGCCCCAGCCTGACGGCTGACGCAGCGCTTGCCAAAGTGAGGCATACACCGCTAGGAGGCAAGCGACCCTAATTTTGTTTTCAGGTGTTTGAAATGGCAAAAGCCTTATGAAGGGAACCTACAAACACAATTCATGGGGCATTTCTGCAAACATACACCCCCAGAGGTTTGTATTCAAAAGTGCACGTCCATGTGTGTGCATACGATGTACATTCCCTGACAGGAGGCGGTGGAGACCAGGCTTCCGGGCAGGGTTTTCGAATCAAAGAGACCTGGAATCTTATGCTCCCCTGTTGCCTACTAGCTTTATATGTCTGGACACATTACTGTAAACCTTAAAGCCCTTGTTTTCACATCTGTAAGATTAAAGTAATAATAGTACTAACCTCATAGGATGTGGCAAAGATAAAAGATAGATAGATAGATAGATAGATAGATATGAAGTGCTCATAGCACATAGAAAATGATCAGTATCATTCAGTCAATGATAATCAGCATTTTTATGACTGGAGCAGAGTGCATGATGAGAGAACAGGAAGGCAAACAACAGCAGAGAATCAGCAACACTGAAAAGCAGCAAATAAATGTAAAAATCAGAAGGCATGCAAGGATCTAATGTTTAAAAACAGGAACAAATGCCTTTTTAAAATATTATAGACATATGTTTCATTCACCTATAATTGTCAAAGTAATCCAGGCCATGCCCTTTCCCCTCTCTATTTCCCGTCTCTATGACGTGTTGGGTGCTTGCACATAAGCCCTCACCAGTAGTGGGGACCTTTGTGGGTTTCTTTTCTTTACTAAACTTTGTGTTTTAGAGGAGTTTTAGATTTATGGAAAAATTGAAGCAGAAAGTACAAAGGGCTCCCATATGCTTCTCCCCCAACCCCCTCACTTTTTCCCCTATTATTAACACATTAGAGTGGTACACTTGTTACAGCGGAATGAGTACTGATATTATTGTTATTAACTAAAGTCCATGGTGTACAATGGAGTTCCTCTTGTGTTATACATGCTATGAGCTTTGACAAATGTGTGATGTCATGTATCCCTCATGTCAACATACAGAATAGCTTTACTGCTCTAAAAATACTCTGTGCTCCAACTATTCATCCCATTCTTTCTCTCCGAACCCCACACAACAACCGATCTTTGTACTGTCTCTGATTTTTGCCTTTTTTAAGATGTTATATAGTTGGAATTATACAGTGTGTAGTCTTTTCAGACGGGCTGCTTCACTTAGCAATATGCTAAGTGTCTTTTTAAAAAGGAAAGCTCATTTCCTTTTTATCGCCCAATACTATTCCATTATACAGATATACTATAGTATGTTTCACCTGTTAAAGGGCACCTCGGTTCCTTCCAAGTTTGGGCAGTTCTGAATAAACATTTCTGTGAACATTCATGTGCAAGTTTTTATGTAAATATAAGTTTTCAATTCCTTTGGGTAAATACCAAGGTGTGCAATTGCTGGATTATATGGTCAGGATATGTTTATTTTGTTACGAAACTGACAAACTGTGTGTCTGTACCCTTTGGCATTTCCACCAGCAATGAATGAGAGAGAGTTCCTCCTGCTGCACATTCTTGTGAGCAATGTGGTGATATCAGTGTTTTGAATTTTAGCCATTTAATAAGTGGTATCTTATTGTTTTAATTTTTATTCCCTAATAACATATGATGATGAGCATCTTTTCATGTTCTTTCTTACCATTTGTATATCTGTCTGATGTGTGCTCAGATTTTATTGCCCATTTTTCAGTTGTGTTGTTTGTTGTCTTATTGTTGAATGTTAGGAATTCTTTATGTGTTTTGGATACCAGTCCTATATGATATATATGTGTTTGTCAATAATATTTTTCTCCCAGTCTGTGAGAGCAATGTCTTTTCATTCATGTAAGATCTTTGAGTTCTCAGAGTAGGAAGCGGAGGCTCAGAAAACTGTGCCGTGCTCTAAATTTTGTGGCTGGCCAATGACAGAGCCAGAATGAGCATCCTGGGTGCCCGAGTCCTCTGTGCTACGTGACCTCTGCTGGAGGAGAACCTCCCTGTGCTAGGATTTTCGGTCTTTAACAGGGTTTCCCTTGATCTTTTCTTCCTTGTTTAGGGCAGAAGAGATGAAAGTCTAAACGTAGACGAGCAACTGGCTGAAAAGGATGCCCAGGTCAGTAACAGAGCAAAGAAACCATCTCCTTTCACTATTTGCGCCCCTTGCCGACCCGCTCATTTCTGTGGCACCAGCTGACGTGGTCATCTCCTATCCCACCTGAAGGCTGGGGCGCACCCAGCCCCAGCTCTCTGCCCTCTTCAGTGGCGGTTATCGTTCCCCTAGCTCCTGCAACCCCAACTCTCAGATGTCTAATCTGCTAAATGTGAAACACTGGAATATCTCACTGACTTCTGAAACAAAAGTAAACCTCCCACTCTTCTCCTTCTGTCTCTTCAAAACGAGAATCGTGTCCGTAATAACCTTTAAGTCTTTCTCCCTTGTCCCATAGATTCTCTATAATGCCGGTGAGAACAGATGGGGCACAGATGAAGATAAATTCACGGAGATCCTGTGTCTTAGGAGCTTTCCTCAACTAAAACGAAGTAAGGACTCACATTGCAATCCTTTTGGCTTTGTATTGTTTTGCAAATGTTTCAGGGGTTTAAATACAAAGTTCTGGAAAACAGAGTTAAAAAGTGCAAAGGCTGTTCCATTTTTATGTATCAACAGTTATGGAAACAACAAGGCAAGGCAGACTGGACACTACCCTTGTTCCCCAGCAGGCTGGGTAGATGCCTAGTGAGTGAGTGAGCGACAGGTAATAGATGGCGGAGGGATGGCAGGAAGAAGAAGAGGGGCAGCCCTCTGGAGTGAGAGCAGAGAGGAGTGTTCCTGTGGGATGGAGGAGCCAGACTCATTCCAGCTCTTTCCTAGTTAATCGCTTTCCAGAAAAACCAGGGTGTGTAATCCACCCTGTTCATGCATTAGGGTGGATTAACATTGGGCTCTTTCTGATATGAAGGTAAATTGTGGGGGGGAGGTCTTTTTGTATGACCAGCTATTACTTGGAACCACTAAGCCTTGACTGCCTCACTTATGCATCTCCCTGAGCCTTTCTGGAAGCCACAGCACCCAGAAGCCGTGAGCTCCAATTCCTGTGAATATCTGACTGTGGCTTCCAGGCGCAGGTCTAGAGAACAACCACAGTGCATGAATACTTTTGTGCCGAGTTCATGGGGAAATGAGGAAACATCAAGATATTACCAAGATTTTTTTATTCTGAGGGTGCCCTTCCTTAAGTGTGGCATTAAAATTTCATTTATAAAATAATGATAAAATTATAGCATAGTTGCTTTATTAATGTCTTTCTTGGAAAAATAAAAACAAAACAATCCTAGACCTATCTCCAAAATATCTTTTTTTTTTTTTCAAAATTTACTTGGAAAAAAATTTACTTGGCTTGCAAAATATGCCCACATACCTGGCGATGTATGTACAGGTTTGGGTGAAAAACACTGATCAAGAAATTCGAATGCCTTCTGGTAAATGTGAAGTAGGCCATGCCCCCTGATGGAATGATTTGCTCAGCAATAAGAAATCTTCATATTTAAGATTGTGTTAACAGATAAAACATATTTTATTAATGTGCCACACCATTGTTTCCCAGGTGCTGCTATAGTTTAAAAATAGCACACTTTATTCAATATATTATTTATTATTTAACCTTTAGGCCATTTTTAATGTTAACAGCCTGGGAAGAGGGAGAGGAGATAGAGAGATCATTGAAAAAATGGCCTATGAAGTTCAGGTTTTATTACAGATGACTTTTTTTTTAAAGATATGAAAAAGAAAAACTTCCTCATTCAAATTTTGATGACTTACCAAAGGAGTTGTTGAGCTCACCACTTAACAACGTAATTTGTTGCACATCAAGTCAAAAACTGGAATACAGTCATGTGTGATCAACTGGGATGCTTTCACTGTTTTTCTGGTGCTGCTTTTTAGCTTTTGATGCATACAGAAATATTAGCCACAAGGACATTGAGGACAGCATAAGAGGAGAATTATCTGGGCATTTTGAAGACCTACTGCTGGCCATAGGTAAGCACTTGAGTGCTTATAAACTGAGTTACTTTGTACTTGATTTCACTCTTGTCGGGCTTAGCCATGTAGGAACCCTAGCAGATCCACCTTTGTGCTCTCACAGCCCCCTGTACAGGTGAGAGTACACACAATATGCTCAACAGATACAGTTAAGTGGGCGCATGAAAAATTTGTTTCATATCTTACTTTGCTTTTAACTTTGTATTAGGCTTGTCACCACATTTGAATTATAAACTCCTTAAGGGATAAAAATATTACAGTTCTACTGGCATTTTTATTGAGCCTTGTTGGAAGCTAAGACAAAGCCAGTTTGGTAGTTCACCATTTTGGGTTATTTTTGGAAGATATCAGTAGCAAGTTGAGCTCAGGTTGGAACTATAGGTCTCCTCCCCTTGGCTGTGCTAGTGGGGAGTATATAAAAATAATAATAATAATAAGTCACAAACTGAATGTGTTCCCTGAGAGACACATTGTGTAAACAAGCAGATAAAAATACTATATAAGCTGACCTGTCTTCCCAACAAGGCCTCAGCAGTCTGTCCTTTTAGGCATCCGAAGAGCGCCCTGCAAGAAAGGTGCAGTCAGAAGAATGAGAGGCTGTTCAAAGACAGAATTCAGGGACCCTTCCAGTCAGTCAGGCACCAAAATCTGTTATGTGTTTGTACACACACAGGATTGTTAGGAATCCTAAGCCGCTCTAATTTAGGGTAGGCACTGGGCTTGCTGCAGGCCTCTTCTCCATTAATTCCAGGGTGGGAGTACCTCTACTCCACATATCTTGTCATTTCATCAGTGAAAAATCCTTGCTGTCATCCATCATGATAATTAATAGCCCCTCTGGTGAGATAAAGATAGCTTATCTCTAAAGGTAACCTCCCCTGGAGTGAGCCTCTGATTCATCTTCAAAAGTTAATTACCACCTCGGGAGGTGGACTCTCAATTAGGGTTCCTCACAATGTATTTTTAAACAAATACTCATCTAGCACTTACCACGTGCTCAGCCCTGTGCTAAATTCTTTCCAAATATCAGTGTATTGAGGCCTCATAACAACCCCGTGGTTTGGGGACCATTATCCCCCTCACTCCCATAAGGATGGTAAACCTGAGGCAGAAGGAAGATCGATTCCTTCCCCAGGTTACCCAGGGAATACGTGGCAGAGCTGAGATCCAGACCAAGGCAGTCAAACTGCATGATCTGTGACGATAACCAACCATTTGATATGTACGGTTCAGACATAGCCTGAAACACACACATATCACGCAGTCTGTGCTGAAGTATTTTAAAGTAAATTACAGGAGATATACCAGGGAGTGAGCACTCACTAAGTTCCAGGCCCCATTCTCAGGGCTTCTTCCACATGTGTTACTTCACTTAACTTCTGGTCCTCTCTTTGAGTGCCAAGATAGGAATTTTATCCAAATGTGGCTCAAAAAAGAAAGAAGGAGAGAGAGAAAGAGAAAGAAAAGAAAGGAAGAAAGAAAGAAAGAGAAAGAAAGAAAGAAAGAGAAAAAAAAAAGAGAAAAACACTGTTGACTCTGATTGAATTGCCAAATAGTCCAAAAATGAATAAAAGCTCCTTTTTTAATTAAAAAAAATGCAATAGAAATCAGTCTCCATAGTAAGTTCTGAAAATGTTCCAGTGACCATGCTACAGCCGGTTTATGTTTTTTCCATTTCAAGTTGTTACTCTTTACATTGATTTTGCTGCTTTTTACTTTGCCTGCTATAACATTTGAAAAACTATTAAGATGTGTTCATTCTTCCTCATTGAGCTAAGAAGCATTTTTGGAAATATCTATTGAATGATACACTAAATTTGACCTATAATGTATATTATTTTATCAAGTAAAAGAAAGACCTTATAATTCAACTCATTTGAAGTTCAGGATATGTCACATGTTTTCTATTCATTTACCATTGAAATACATCATTTTTCCTCACCTTTACTGAGGTTTAACTCACACACCATAAAATTCACTCATTCAAAGTGTGCAAATTCAGTGCTTTTTTTAAAGTATATATATATATATTTACAGATTTGTTCAACCATCACCACAATCGAGATTTAGGATATTTTCTTGAGCCCCCGAAGGAACCCTGGACCCACTAGCAATCTTCCCCCTCCAACCTGTTATCTACTAATCCACTGTCCATGTTGATAGATCTGCCTATTGCAAACATTTAATACATAAGGAGCCTGATTCCACAGGTCAACACATAATTTTTAATATGAAAACCTGTCTGAGCTGTATCACCTTAGAAATGCATAATAGAGCCTTTCTAGCTGTCAAACCTGAACTTCAATAAGGAGAAGCTTTATTCAAAAAGGCTGTTGCCATAAGGAGGATGGTTTCTTCTCAGAAATGTGCAAGGGACTCAAAATCAAACAGGAAAAAACCTTTCTCTTAAGGGGAAATTGGAAACGCAAGGGGACATGATCATTGGGGTTTGACAAGACGTGTTTTGCTCTTTTAACTGATTCTCGGGATAAGCTAACAAGAGGGCATGTTTTGTGTTTTAGTGATTGCTAAAGCGGGGTTGTGGCGGGGGGCAAGCCAGAGTTCAGGGACGTGGGTGGAGAGCTGAGTGAAGTTTGGTCAACACAACACAGAGGGTAAGAAATGGGCAACTGTGGAGTCTTGGTCATTGTAATTAATTTTAGGGACTCCCTGAGTTTCCCTACTTTCGACACTGAATGGTAAAACAAACTTCCTACCCCTGTATATAACAGTTTCCCCAAGTTTTAGGACGTGAAGAACAAACCTGGTGGTTAAGAATATAAGCAGAGGACAAGCTAAAGGATTATAAAAACAAAAAACAAAAACACAAAGAATCCTAGAAGGATTTAGTTTAGGGGGAGGGAGATGATTAAAAGCTTAATAGAATAAAAGTAGGCATAATAATTTTTGATCAAAGTATTCAGACTTGCTTAACATGAATTTGAGAAAAACTAGGTAGAACTGATCCAAATGGTTGATTTATTCTCTGACAGCTTCCCATATAACAGTGTTTTCACATTTGTCCCAGGTTCTCTGTTTAAGTTTCTAATACATTGCCCCGTCTATTTCCCTTGAGTCAATTACACCAACTGAAGGCCTTCACTTTCCTTACTAGAGCTTATGAGGCACTGAGAAAGCTACTTGTTCTTGTTTTGATCTTTAAAATTCATTATAAAATTTATTCACTATTGGCAGATTCCTATCTGCAGGTGACATTTAAGATTATAAAAGTAACTGTGCTACAATAAGTATATTTACTCTCTATAGACTTTTCTATTTCTGATGATTTCTGCTTTATTTAAAAGATGATTTGCTCATGTTTTTGCCAGTACCCGTTTTTGTTTTTTTTTTTTTTTTGGTTTTACTTCTGTTTTATCTGTTATTTCAAAATAAAGAATTGAAAGATTACAGTGTTTTGTTTTGTAACTGAATTTAGATTACAGGCGCTGGTTCTAATATAATTACTCTAACCAGCCTATAAATTCTAATACAGCCACTTAAGAGAAAATCTTTCCACTTGAAAAAGTTTTAAATTGAACTCCAGGCCCCTTCTTACCTAATGAATTATTTGGAGCAACATCACTGCAGTCCTTGGATCCAAGTCATTCATCAGTAGTCAGAGATGTTAGAAACGCAGCAACCGTACACGCTAGGGAGTTATCAATGTAAGCGTAGGTGTTGGTGTATCTGGGGGCTGGACATGAGTCATGTGATGTGGGAGTTTCTTTGGCAGGTAATTTTATTTTCCCCATGGCTAAAGATAATTACTGTGCTAAAGCTTTATGCAAATATGATGTCATAAGGCTTTGAAATTCAAGTTAAGCATTCATTCTTTCATTTTAAATGAGTGCCAATAGTGTGTGTGGGGGTGGAGGGGTAGAATGGATATGGTTACCCAAAGAATCTTTTTAAAAAACATTTTACTGTATATTAACGCAATTTCTATTAAGTGACAGTGAACATACTTTACTTTTTATACAGTTCATTGTGCAAGGAACGTGCCTGCCTTTTTAGCTGAAAGACTGCATCAAGCTTTGAAGGTTGGTGTAGAAATTTCATACACGCTCTTAGCTTCCCTCAATGAAAATGTAAAAACATTGCTAATATTGATGGATTTTTTTTTACTTTCTGTCCACTTTAATGAGTTCTCTTTTTTAGCTCATTTGTCTACTAATTTGTCTCATGGATTTAGATAATGAGTGTCCTGATGATTATAGAGATACAGTGAAATGTTGACTAAATTATTTCCCCCAGTAGACAGTACGTGTAGGCAGTAGAACTTGTTTTAGAACTCCAGACCTCAACTTGACTCATTAGGTTTAGTGGACTCTTGTGCTGCCTTATTTAAAATAAACCAGACTGAGCCAGCAGCCTTTCATGATATAGAAACCTTATGTTTTCTTGTCTGTTTCCATTGCTAGATGGTGAACTCCATGAATAGAGGAGGGGTTTTTTGTTTCTGTTTTTGTCTGTTTGTTTTTATCTCTTGTATGTCTTCAGACCCTAGCACTTCACCTGGCACACAGAAGATGCTTACTTCAGTTTCTTTACTAGGCGTTTCCTGTGGAAGTCCACATGCACCTTCCACGTTATGTCCAAAGGGAACATATTGTTTCCCTCGCTTTGCCAAACCTCCCACCCCATGTCTGGTTCCCATCCTGTGTTCAGCGATCTTAGTGTGGAGCCCCGACAGGATCTGCCCTTGCCTAGCTTCTGAAGTTATACCGTTCCTCCCCGTCCTTGTTCTCTGTGCCTCAGCCACTTCAGCTTTTCTGTTCCGTGACTATGCCAAGTCTCCCACATCAGAGTCTTTACATTGGTTGTCCTCGCTGCCTGAAGTGTACCCCCTCCAGCTCTACCTATGATTAGCTCCTTCTTATCTGTCAGGTCTCTACTCAAACGGCACTTCCTGAGAGTTTTCTCTGACTACTCAGGCCCATCGGCCCCTTTTAGTCACACCCCATTCCATAATAATCATTACTATTTAAATAGACAATGTGTTAACTTTCTTTACTGACCATCTCCATTCATTAGGACGTAAACTGCCTTAGGATAGAGGCATAGTCTGTGTCCTTCACTACCACATGCACAGTACATGGAAAAATGCCTGGCATATAGTGCATGCTCAATAAGCATTTGCTGAATACACGAATTGTGTCAATATCCTCTTAACTGCTCAGAAATGTTACACTTCTCCCTCTCCTTCATTCTCCTCAAGTGTTGTCATCCATCTTTATAAGCATCTCTTAAATCAACCCATTTTCTCCATCCATACTGCCCTTTTCCTAGGTCAGGCCATCATCGTCTCTTTTTTTCTGTAGTGTAATCACCTCTGGAGGAGCCCCAAAGCCTCTCGTCTTTTTCTGTTGCCTTCACCCTCCTCCTGTCCTGCCGTCCATCTCTCATACTGCTGTCAAAAGGTCTCCTGAAACCGCAAATCTGATCTGATCTCAGTACTCTCATCTTTAAAAGATTGCGATAGCCCGCCCTTTACTCTTGGGATACAGTCGGAATTTCATTTCATGGTTTACAAGATTCATTCCAGGCACATCTCTTGCTGTTCCTCCTCATTATTTATGGATCCTTGAATGTGGCATTCTTTCTTGCCCTAAACCTTCACAACTGCTGTTTTCTCCATTGGGATGTTTTCTCCTCTCTCTGTGCACCCCATCCCTTCTTTTTCTGCCTGATTATTTAGGCCCCGGCTTAAATACCAATTTCTCAGACAGACCTTTCCTAATCCTTAGTCTATTTTAGGCTCCCCTAATATATGGGCCCATCTGTGCCCAATATTTCCTATATATCATATTATATTTTAATGGCTTGTTTCTTGCCTGTATTCTTTACAAAACTGGAAGATTAACAGGGGTATCTCATCTCCATTTTCAGCATTTGCCGTGGTACTGGCAGAGAGTAGGTTCTCAATTAATATTTTTTGAGTAAATGAATGATGAGGTTAATGGTAGACGAATGAAGAGGTGTCACTGGTTGACTCTTTTGTGCACCATCATCTATTTCTTATAGAAATAGGTCTATGAGCTGTTTTGTGACTGATGAGATTTTTACTGTGGACACCTGCATTTCTTAACAGGGTGCTGGAACTGATGAGTTTACTCTGAACCGAATAATGGTTTCCAGATCAGAAATTGATCTTTTGGACATTCGAGCAGAGTTTAAGAAACGTTGTGGCTATTCCCTATATTCAGCAATTAAAGTAAGTCTCCTTTTAAAAATAGCAAAATACATTTTGCCTTTCTCTCCCCATCCTCTTTCTCCTATAATCCTTAGAATAGGGAGATATGTGACTTAGATTTCTCTCCTTGTCAATGTGCAAAAGTGTAGTAATAGCAAAACAGGCCTTAATGATGGAGACTATTTTTCAGCTCTAGAATCTCAGGCACTTGATAGATACTCAACTTTTTTTCTTTTTTTTTCAATTTAGCAGCCACTCATTTTTCTTTTGTGAATTGCATATGCAAGTTGTTTACCTATTTTTTATATTACAGTGTTTTTTTTTTATTTCAGTGCTTCTTTATGAAAATGACAGGAAAGAAAAATACATAATTTAATTTTCCTCTTTGTTTTACACAAACCATATAGCATGGTTCTGCAGCCTGGAGTTCTTTTCATTTCAGTATGTTGGAAGCTCTCTCTTTCTTTTAAATAGCTGCATATCATTCCATTATTTGTTTATTTATACCCACCACATCAATAGATGTCCCCGTTTCTTACTGTCACAAACAATGCTGCAATATGCATACACAATTTCATAAGTTACAAGTGTATCTGTGGCATAAATTCGAGCGGAGTTTATTTCTGACATAAAGTCTCAAAAGTGGGTAGGATTATTGAGACAGATGTAAATATATTTGTACTTTTGATAAATATTACCAGTTGGCTTCCATCTGCACTCCCATTAAAAATACATGAGTCCTTGCTTCTCCATAGCTTTGGCACAGAGGGTATTTTCAAGCTTTGGGTTTTTAAAATCTGATCAGTGGCAAGTTGTATCTCAGTGTAGTATTAATGTATGTTTTTCTTAATACGAGTGAGGCTGACATATTTTTATGTTTTAAATTTTATTTGCTTTTCTTTTTTGGTAATTTTTTAATATTCTTTGCCCATTCTATTGAAATTTGGGGTTTTAATTTTGGGGGGTTTAATTTTATGTAAGTTAGAGTCACCTTTTTCCAATGAATTGTAAGTATTTTTCCCAGTATGTTATTTTTCCTTTGACATGGCCGAAGGTGTTTTTCCATACCATTTTCCATCAAGTCGAATATATCAATCTTTTTAAAAATAGTTTCTCGAGTTAAAAAAATCAATTTCTTACAGCCTATCATTCTGGATGAGAATCCTCCACAAGTATAGTACAACTTCCTGTCAGTTTTAAAGAATAAAACCAGTTTTCATTGTACTTAGATCTCAGTTGATATTTTATATATAGAAACCCCAAATAAATTCCAAATTATTAGACTTAATAAGAAAGACTTGCAAAAATTGTGTAAGAGCCTTCCATTCATGAAGCTAATAGTTCAAAAGTCATAGTCCCAGTAAGAATATGGCAACTTGGAAATGATGAACTAAGGGGCTAGTGCCTTTAAGATTGTTTTCTATCCTGGCCTCCCAGATGGCATGCAAGCCTCCAGTCATTGAGTAATAATAGAGAGCGCTAGTTCAAGCTGGGTCCCTGAAACAAAGTGGAAGCCCAGGGTGTCGAGCGAGCTGTCAGATTGCCCCAGGCTTCAGAGCCATGGCCAGGTGAAAAGATGGCATCTGAGGCTGGCTTCACAGACGTCTTGCAGGCCTTCCTATGCCTCCGGCTCATGAAACCGTACTGCTGTCTGGAGAAAATCAGCTTTGGAGAGCAGTAGGCCCAGAGGTGAAGACAAGTGGATCTAAATCAGTGTAGAGTCACCAAGACCCAAGCTCAAGGGTGGGGCCCAGAGGACAAACCTATTCTGGCAGAAAGACACGTTTGCTCTGAGCACCAGTGGTCCAAAGTTCGAAGTGGAGGCTGAGCTGTCTAGATATCTGGGCATCAGCTATAGGACTGTTTTAGCGCCCCATGGATTCTGATCCTGGGCTCCCACCTCTTTCAGGCCCCAACAAGGACGGAGTTCCACAGTACACAGGAGGCAACATCCATCCATTGCCACCTGGGATTCCTCTGTTAAGTCTACATTCTTGTGTCATCACGAATTGCTGAAGCTCATGGTCTAGCCTTTGAGGTGGCCCTGCCCACAATAACCACCCTTGACCAGGCATACACATTGCCCTGGACCTTTGGGCAGGCCTTTTGAGAACTTTTCTGCCTCAAGCTCCACAGGGGTTTTTACAGTGGATAAGTGATTGAACATCACTCAGTCAACTAGATTCATAAACCAAAATCTCCCTCCCCATACTTTTTTTTTTTTTTTAAATCAGCCAGAGCTTTTGTTCTTGTACTAAACCTTTGCAGAAAGAGATGCATGCCTAAGTTGAAATCAGGAACTTACTCAAAAAGGCAGCTCTCAGACTGTGCCTGGGGCTTAGCACAAATTTCATCAACTGCTCATACTCAATGCAATTTGAATCGATCCTGACACATTACAACAGTTTCAATCAACAGAGGAAGATTCAATAATGTTAACCATATTGTTCTTACTAAGGCAGAAAAGTAGACACATACCTTTTATAAAGATTGTCAGTAATAAGATTGCGACATAAAGAGGGCTTTCACTTCACCCTCAGCAAACCAGAAAATTAAATTAATCAATAGCTCTCCCTTCCCCAATGGTCTGGGTAATTGAGGCTTATTGTATTAGGAAATATCTAAACTATGGGTATCCTGACAGAAGAGGAAAACCCATAGCTGAAGAGTTCAGTTTGTAATTTAAAATTATATAGGGTTTATTCATTTCTCCGCCCTAAAAGTACATTATTAAGTAATATCATTACTTTTTCACTACTGATGAATAGATCCTTTCGGATGGTTCAATTTCTGTAATTTGGTAGCTAAAATTCCATTTTGTATATTGTGGGGGAGGAAGAAACTTTCCCCTTCAAGTTTTTTTTTACCTAGTCTAATAATTAAATCTACATGACACAGATTAATGAGAGAAAAATAACCGAATTTAATTGCATACACATGCATGGGAATCCCACATACAGAAGAGAGTCAGAAGAAGCCTCACATGCATGAGAGACTCAGGGACAGAAAGGTAAAGTGAGGCCTATATGACCTACCTCCTGGTCTTATATGAGGTAAGATGCCTTGGGGCTTCACAGTCACTGCAGGACGTAAGAAGAACAGATGTTCAGTAAATTTTAATTTGCCTTGCTATACAGATAGGTCGGAAAAGATTATCTCTGATAATCTCTTATTATTGGCAAGGCCCCTAATTCTTCTTGGTAGTTAAGAGGGGAGGGCAGAAGTTTCTCTTGAGCTGCAAGGTCTCTGTTGCCTTTAGTTTAAAATAATCTGCATTCTACAGAGGCACATCTTGGGATGGCTCATTCTGAACCCTACAATATCATCCAGGCTTTTGGTCCTGTCTTCCTCTTCTGCCTATTGTTTAGCCATTTCTCATTAACACCTTTCTCAGGTGATGATTGGTGGGGAAAAGGAGAGAAAGATGTAGGTGAAAAATGTGTCTCTCTTATTAACTAATAAACTATCAATAAAAAATCTGGATGAAATTCCATTTTTAGTAGATTTCCTTGATGAACAAATTAAGTACCTATTTAACAAATAGCACAATTCCAGACTCTTTAAGGGAAAACACAGCAATCATCTTCAATTTATAATCTGTGTGAAGTGAGGTGGGCATAAATAAAATAATTAAAAAATAATAATATGAAACAGCATACAATTAAATACTAGATTGTAGGGTACAGAGCATAGTAATATGGGAATTGAGAGTAAAATAAATTTGGGGTTAGATAAGAAATATTTTCTTCAGGAAATGGGTTTGAGCCTACCTTTCAGGCGAATAAACATGTATTGGGTGCCTCCTATGGGCCAGGTGCTGTGCTGGTAAGTGGGATCTCAAAGGTGAATGCTCTAGAAACGTAGTGAGAAGTAGGAGGGAAAATAGTAGTAAGTCACTTGATTGATTAGAAGGTCTACCTTGGAGAATATTGAAAAATAAAATCCAAATGATGAGTTCAGTTGAAAGACAGCTCTGAGGTCATGGAATTTGTTTTTCATTTATTCAATTAAAAATATTTACTGAATGAAATTTAAGTACCAAGTTTGGGTTTATAATTATAAGCAAGGAAGAAAAGTTTCTGTCCTTAATGGAATTACAAGTAAATGGAAAATTTGTACAACTATGTTAAATGTAAAGGGAAAAAATATTATGCTGTCAGATCCTGTAATAGGAGGAGTTGACCTATAGGAAAGGCTTCTATGAGGAAGTAATCATTCAGATCTGAGGGTGAGTAGACGACACAAAGCAAAGGTTGTGGGCGTCGAGAGAAAGTAGAGCGTCTTAACATGCAATTGCAAGCGGAAAGCCCTAGAGGTGGTGGAGAAATAATGAAAAATGAGGCTAGAGAGGTCAGGTCAAATAGGACCTTTTTTGACAACATTTAAAGATTTCTGTCTTTAGCTAAAGAGCAATGGGAAGCCACTGAAGAATTTTAGTTTTAAGCACATAGTGTCATAATTAGAAGTACATTTGGAAAAGGTCCCTGAGATTGTGGAGAATGAATTAGACAGAAGATAGAAGAGTATGGGGTATTGTCATATTAGAGTAGTACAAAGTAGTAAGCAAAGCTACTGGCAATGCAAAGAGAGGAAAGAGCAAAGACTCAAAAGATATTTAGGAGATATTTAAAATTAAGACACATGGACCTGGACAATAGAGTGGAGATTGTGACAGAGAGAAGGGTTGTAAAGGGGCTAAGTGGGAAAAAAATGCAATTAAAAAAAAGACATTTGGTGTGAGGAGCAAGGATGACTCCCAGGTTTCTCATTTTGGGAAACAGATAATCGTGCCAATTCTTGCATGAGGGTCAGGTTTTAGGTGTTTTGTTTGTTTATTTGTTTTTTGGCCTGTTTTTTCTTTTCTGGAGTTGGAGGAAAAAGTGCATGTGTTGAGTTTGAGATGTCTTTGAGATGTAAGGGGAGATGCTGAGTAGGCAGCTAATGGTAGGAGAAATATTTTCAGAGTCAGTTATGTTATTGAGTCCTTGGACATGGATGAAAATCCTCTAGGGAGAAAATATAGACCAAGAAAAGGAAAAAGCTGAGAACTGAGATTTAAGCATTACTAACAGTTAATGGCTGGAGAGTAGAGGATAAAGCTGCCAAGAAGACAAAGGTGGAGATGCTAGAGAGGAAGGAGGAAAAGCCAGGATTCCCAGGAAAAGTAAGGGCTACTTGCTTCAAGGATATGGTAGTGATTGGACTAGATTTACAAAACAATAAGAATTAACAACTTGGAGAAAGGGACTGATGAATCTATCATTAAGGAAACTAGAGGCAAGAGATGAAAGCCTCAGGTAGATTTGTTGTTGTTGGAATGGAAAAAAGGGAATAATTTAAAAAACACCACAAAGAAACACCTGGGAAGTGGAATTAAATGTAAAGGATAAAAAATAGCATCAAATTTGGGAGAAGAGAGAACCACTGTTAAAAACAGGCCAGCTGAGAGAAACATTTAGTTAGTTTCTTAAGAACAATTAGTATGGCCTAATTAGGAAAGCATGAAGTATGTTCAAAGGTTTTGAAATTACAGTAACATTTTTGTGTTAAAATTTCTAAAATGCCATATAAATAGAATAGCTATTTTACTAGAAGGCATAAGGTAATAAAGGTAGGAGAAAAGGATGAACATTTGTTTAATGTCTATACTGGATCAGAATTTTAAATATAGTTTTGTGTGTTAAACAACAGATGTGTTTTCTCCAAGATTGATAGAACCCCTAATAATTTTTACAACTTTGATGACTAGAGGGAGCTCTTTTAACACAGTGTTGACTTGTCATCAGTTTGAGAAGTTATTACATATGGCAGAGCAAGACTTAGGAAAAGCAATAGAGGAGGAACTAAAATCTGTGTAAAATGGAAGAATGTTAACATTAATGCCTGTTGTGTCTTATGAAAATGATGCTTAACTTCTTTTCTAAATGACCCTTCTTCATTGCTTCCTTTACATTACCACTTACTTAATATTTACCCCAATGTGAGAAACTTAAGTGATAAGAAATGCTTGCTGTTTGAGTTGCCTTGAATAAAATAAGAGTAACGTGAACTCTTTAGGCAATTTAGGTTAAAAGTCAAGTTTTACTTCTGATGCTATGCAAACATTTTTACCTCTTTGCATAGTAAACGTGACATCGTAGTACTTTAGCCTCAGTCTCCCATGGTAGGTTTTCTGAACCAAGACCTCTTTTGGGTAGTCTAGGGGAAAGGAATTGAGAAATGCACTCTCTGGGGATGTAGTTCATTTCACTTTCTTAAGTATAGTATAGTGTTAAGGGGCCGGGCGATCTGGATTTGAATCCTGCTTCTGCCACTTATTCTCTCCATAGACTTGGCACAAAGTTCCTAACCTCTCTTTTTCTCATTTTACTTATTATGTGGTAAATGGAGATACCTATACCTACTGCTTAGAGTCCTTTTAAGAGTTAAAATAATTAGCTCTTAGAAGAGCAAGGGTTTGGGAAATAAAATGTATTATTAAAACTATTATTTGTTAAATTTTTGTTAAATTAATATTATGTAATATTGTGTAATTAATGAAATCTTATTAAACTCAAATTGAAATTTAAAGGCAATATATCAGGAAAAATTTAAACATTATATGTTGTAAAGAAGATGTTAGGCTGGAAAATAACTATACTCAAGTATGAATGAAGGATGGAATTACAGGTGCATTTTACTAAATAGTACATGTCATGAGTCTTGCACCCCAGTGAATCCCCTAGTGCTGTGGGATTTGATTCATTTGTGGTTCCCTCATTATTTATGCTCTATCTGCCTTCTCTTCGTCGGTCCTGTTCTTTGCAGTCGGATACTTCTGGAGACTATGAAGCCACTCTCTTGAAGCTCTGTGGGGGAGATGACTGAGTCAAGAACACCATCTCCGGAGGTTGCCGGCTCCCACGATGGGCTTTTCCAACAGCGCTGCTTACTTCTTTCTCACAGTATTTAAAAGTACAAGCAAGTATAAACAGCAACTTATTTTCCTAAAAGAGATTTTCATTGTTTCATAACAACAGCAACATGATTATTGTAGAACATTTCACCACAATGTAGGAGTTCATAAATGAGCATTTAATATGAGGAAGGATCGCCTAATACCATCCAAATTTTATTTCTGCGTGGGAAGTGAGAATCTTCGTACAGTTCTAAAATACTAAATGCAAAAGCAGGGTAATAAAATTGTTGCTTTTATTAAATTGTCTGTTTTTAGCGTCTACCAACATTGTTGGTACCAGGTGCTGGCAACTAATAATATTTTACAACACATTTTTGTTACAAAAGCTGTTGCTACTTCAATCTATCTATTATGTCATTAATCACATCCATCTTTAAGAAAAGGAAAAAAAGGAAGATGTATGTAACCCTGCCTACCCCTTTCATGATCAAGCTATAGGAATGGCAATGCATATTAAGTTATTGAAGGCCTCAGAAAACATCTGCTGAGCTATTAATCTAACCACTTCCTGTCTGAATGGTAAGCATGAATTGTGGTTGTTTTAGGCTAAATAACTGCTTTCCCAGAATGCATAGTTAGAATCAAATCTATAAGGTTTCCTTTTCCTCTAAGTTTGCAAAACTAAGCATTTAAAAAACCCCTCGTGTTATCTTTGAAAGGGACCTACCATCAACTATCTTGACTAATATGAAATATGTGAAGTAAAAAATTCGAGTTAGAATTATCAGCCTGGACTACAATAAAAGTGATAGATGTGTGAGAGATAGAAACAGTGATGTATGGGTTCAGAGCTTTTAATCAGTGCATTCCCCTGGTGAACTAAGGTGAACTGAGAACTAAGCTCTGCTAAACTAAAATTTCCTCATCTATAAAATGATGGTAGTTACAGCACTTGTCTTTCTCATAGCATTTCTTAAAGATTAAGTGAGATAATGCCTGTGTACACTTAGCCCTGTGCCTGGACATAGTTAAGTGTTCAATTACTATGTTGTCATTATTATTACCAAGCAACATCAAAATGATCACAAACAATACTGCAACCCTTCTTTGTCAGTTCACGCACCACATGCCAACCCCTGTACTAAGTAAGTATTGGATACACCAAAGGGACTAAGGGTCATTTCCTTTTGACAAAGAGCGTAAGATCTGAGAAAGACATGTAAGCAGGTAAACACAATACAGTATATACTGTGCATTCAGGGAAATTACATTGTATAAGAAGAGACAGAAGCAATATGGAAGTGGGGTCAAGAATTCAGCCTACTAAAAGTTATAAACTCCACCAGTTAAAAAGAAGAGGAGAGGCTCCCCATTATAGGTGAGAGCCCTTGCAAAGTCACTGAGTTATGACCTAGCATGATGTGTACACAATTTTACCCAAAAGTTAGTGTGATGGAGGCTTAGAATACAAGGGAAGTAACCACTGATAGGCAGGGGCCAGCTTATGAAAGCTTATATATTGTGCTAAGCAATTCATAAGCAGGAGGCAGTCATGGAAGAAGCATTCTAGGAGGATATCAGCCAGAGAAATGATGTGCTCAAATTTTTTATCAAGTGGGAGGGATGCATAGGAGAGGAAAGCTACAGGCAAGAAGCCTACTTGGCAAATTAGTTCTAAAATCAAGACCAGAAGTGTCAGTCTGCTCTAAGATAATGAAAAGGGAGACCAAAGCGGGGAAGATATACACACTTAAGAAATAGTTAGGAAATAAAATTGATGGAATAGGGTAATCAGAGTAGTCAGGTGTCAAGTTTGCCCCTATGATTTTGGCTTCAGTGATTTGGTGAATGAGTGTCTCACCAAGCAATAAACCATTACTAATACATAAGTGCTTACTATGTATCAGGCACCATGTTAAACAGTGTAGTATGTGTTAAATAGTTAATCCTCAAGGAACTTTACAGTGAAGGCACAAACTCACAGATATAGGCATGGAGGCTTGAAGAAATTAAACACCCATTGGAAGAGCCTGGGTTTAAGCCCAAACAGCCCAACTTCAGTGTCCAGATTCTTAATCACTATTTTGCCTTAAAATGTATCCCACCTCCAGGTCATAGTTCTTTTCAACATCGAACATAAGCTATTTGAATGTGGGGAATTTTGTCTATTATATTCATTGCTGTATCCCTAGTACTTAGAGTGTGCTTAACACATAAAAGGGACTTAATAAATCTTTGTTGAATAAATGAAGTTCTCTTTTTTCCATATATTTGAGTTATATAGGTGAATTTGGAGTGGCTATTTAAACATTAGTAAATATACCTGAGTCTCAGCTTCCCAGACTTGGAAAAAGAAACTAATATTATTGCACTATGGGCAGCCTTGGAGAAGAATTCAGAAATTTTACCTACATATACTTTTTCCAAGCTACCTATCACCATGGAGATAAATATTTTGTAAAGCTAGCCAGAACATTGGGACTTCTGGAGAAGCAACAAGTTCAAATGCATGTATGTTCTCCTTAGAAAAACTCCTAAAATCGCATTACAAGATGTTAATCTTAACAAATTCTCCAAAGTCATGGAGAAGAAATCTACCTGCTTTGGATTTTTATACTAACTGTTCTCCTTTCCTCTAGAAAAGCAATGGTTTTCTCCACTAGAGTTCTCCACAAATATTCCTTCCTTCCTTCCTTTCTTTCCCTTTCCCATTCATTCTTCTATGTCTTCATTTCTAAAATGTAATAGCACTCTTTAAAAATCCTCATCCTAGGACATGTTTTATTAATTTTTTTTTTGAGAGAGAGAAAGAGATAGAGAGAGAGAGAGAAATGTCGATGTGAAAGAGAAATATCAATTGCCTCCTGTGCACACCCCAACCAGGGATCGAACCCACAACCTAGTTATGTGCCCTGACCGGGGATCGAACCTGCAACCTTTTGGTGTATAAGACAACATTTTAAACAACTGAGGCACCTGGCCAGGGCTGTAATAATTGCTTTTGAAACTACTCCCCAATATGAACACTAAGACTTTGACAATAACTTATTACCAACCACATAGTTTTCCCCTTCCACTTCCCCATTTGATGTAACCACTATCCCAAATTTGATGTTCATTGTTCCCTTGCTTCCTTCTTATATAGTTTTTCATTCATTTTTTTGTCTTTATTAAGTGAGCCTTGTATGTCATTTCTGGGACTTCTTTTTTCACTTATTTTGCTACGTGGTATTCATGGCATTGTATGTCATGTGTTGTATTTATTTTGACTGCTATGTATCACTTCATTGTGTATTTCATAGGTACAACTTCTAGGAGGCCACAGAATTGCCCTGAAGGAAGTCAGGAAAGCATAGTTTTATCTGGCTCCCTACCCCTTGTGCTTCTTTGAAGCTATGGTGCCCTACTATGGCCACAGAAGTAGGAGCCTTCATCTGCGGTCAGTACACAAAACTAGGAAGAATCTGTTTGTTCTCTCTAATGGATTCTGATCACCAGTTTTCAATGTGTGTGGGGAAAATTGTTCCCCACACCAACAAGCAATGCTCTGACACCAGCTGGATGTCCTACAACTCAACTCAATCTGATGCTGTCTACCTGGAGTAGCATCAGATCCCACAGGTCAAGTCCGACAAGACCACCCTCCCATCTCCAGACACCAATCAAGAGTCCAGGTTGTAACCTGTACTTCTGACCAACTGGTATAGTTCAGAGATTGCAGCAACTTTCTCCTTGATTTCAATTAATTTGCTCACAGTGGCTCACAGACTCAGGGTGTTTACCAGTTTATTATAAAAGGATATAATAAAGGATAGGGAGTATAGGGCAAGGTATGTGGGAAGAGGTACAAAGTGTTCATGCCCTGTCCAGGTATGCCACTCTTTCGGCCCCATACATGTGTTCACCAACCCGCAATTTCTCCAAACCCAGATTATTGGGATTTTTATAGAAGCTTCATCATATAGGCATGAGCAATCATTAATTCCATTTCCAGCCCTTTTCCCTTCTCAAGAGAATGAAGGGCGGGGCTGAAAATTCCAAGCTTCTAATTATGGCTTCTTTCCGATGACCAGCCCACATCCGGGAGGCACCCAGGAGCCCCCCACACTCACCTATTAGCAAAAACCAGATATTGGAATAAAAGGTGATCATAGTGCTCTTTTCACCTAGGAAATTAAAAGGGTTTTAGAAGGTCTGGGCCAGGAACAATTATCTCAGATGCTTGCTTTCGCAGGAATTTACTGTGTAATCTTGTCATGTAAAGGGACAGCCACTAAATCATTGTGCATGTCAGTGTATATGTTACATATCACTAAATTTCTAGCCCAGTTCCCACAATGAACTTTAGGAATAATGATTTGTAAAGTGAGGTAGTAGGCCTTTCCTGCCCATTGTACCTGGCCATTGTAAGGAGCAGAATAAATAGTTAGAATGACCTTGAAAAGTATGGAATGTTATTCAAATGTGATGTAGAATTGTAGAGTTTATACAGATGAAAGTGATTATGCCCCTTGGACGATACCTTGTAATAATAATATGATCTCAGCTAACATTTATGGTAGAGGTGCTGAACACTCTTCAAATTGTTTTCTAAGGATCAAAACAACTTTGTGAAGTAGAAACTACTATTGTTCCCATTTTAAAGAATAATCAATTTTGTTGTATGTATGAATTGAGGACTTACTACATGCCATGGCTGTAGTAAATATTTTAGATCTCATCTTCAGAGTTGTTATAGTATTTATCTGTCTTAAGCGCTTTGAAACAAAGCATGGTTATATGTGTAAAATGAATAATATTATCCCCATTTTACAGATGAGGAAAATGAGGCTCAGAAAGATTAGGTTAGTAGCCCAAGGTTGCACAGCAGAAAAGCCTAGGTTTGGTATCCAGGTCAGTTTGTATCTGCACATGAGTAATCCTGAGAAGGGTGAGGATGAAGGAAGTGATCATCACTTGAGAGGACCCTCCAAAGAGAAAGCAACACTGAAATAATAAAAAAGGCCTCCAAGGGAATGTCTCTTTCAGACTTTTTACTCTCATTCTTCTTGCATCGTATGTATTCGATCAGCTAGTAACTGCTGAAAGTATATTTCTGATGATTCTGATGGAACATGGCTAGCTCAAGATGAAGCCTTGTTGCTAGTGATCCTTCCAAAGAACTACAATACTTATTTAAATATTTAAATCCCACAATGGGAAGGACAATACAGGGCACAGGGCAGGGTCATGGTTAAGTGCATGGGCCTAGGGTCATGCTACCCAGATCTGTGGCTTTAAGCAAGTAATTTTGCTTTGCTAAGTCACATATTCCTCACCTTTAAAATGAGAACAATAATACTTTGGTTATTTTGATAGTTAAATTTAGAAAACAACAGGTGTTCAGAGTAGTGCATATCATATGGTAAGCACTTAATTAATGTTAGCCTAGATCAGCAATTTTCAACAGGTGTGCAGCAAGAATTTTTATTTTTTTATTTTTTTAAAGAATTTTTAAAACATGCAGTAACTGACTATTTATTCAAGGGCACTGACCTCTTTTCTCTTAGATTGTCAAATAAGAAAATGACAACAGCCACCCTCTCTGGAAAGCCCAGTTGACTGGGGTATCATCCCAATGCACTAGAGTTACAGGTTTTGATCTCCAACTGGGAGCACATGCAAGAATCAGCTAGTGAGTCGAGGGGAACAACAAATCAATGTCTCTCTCTCTCCCTCTGCCTCTGTCTCAAGCGAGCGCGCACACGCACACAACAGCCAACACAATAGCCACCTGGTGTGAATGAATGAAAATTGTACCTATTTTTTGTCAGATCATATATCATATATATTTTTTGCTATGCCCCAGAATTTTAGTAATTAGTTTATGTCTGCCATGAAATGGAAAAGGTTGAAAATCTCTGGCTTATATCACATTATTACTGCAGTGAATTATCAAGGTGCATGGGGTTTTTTTTATTGCCTCTGATTTCCACAAGGTGGCAGGTCAAGTTCAAAGCGGACCCCATGACTTTGTGCCCCAAAGGCAAAAACCTACTTACTTGCTTCAGAATAACTGGGCCAAACATAAACGGAAAAAAAGCCTTCATTATATTGTTTATAGAATGTTTGTTATGGTCTAGGCATCTTATTGTTGTAAAATCCTTCTTAATAGAATGTAGAGGTCACTTCATTTAATTCTCTCATTTCTCATGATTTTCAGGACCATCTGCACTTAGGTGAAATGTTTATTAACTTTTCCATGGATCACCCACCTAAGTGAGTACATGTAAGTCATCTCTTTACACACTTAAGTTTAGCCTCTGAAGACTGTGGGGGAGAAAATTAGCAAGCTGGAAAGACTCATGAACTCTGATAGATGAACTGCAAAGGGCAGGAGATTTGTGCACCTTGTTTCAGAGCGATGGGATGTTTGGTCTATTCATTAGGAAGTACGAAAATGACAAATAAAGACAGTGAATAGGTGCTTCTCTAGCCTATTGTAAGGGTATATTAAAGGAAATTTTTAAGTAGCCTAAGTCAGACTTTTCTTCTGTGTATTCTTCTTTCATTTTCCTCATTTGTGTCTTATCGATAACTTCTCATTTCTACAATTTTACTTTGTCTTTAAAGGGCTGGTTTTAAGGTCTATCAAACTGGGTCTAAATCCTGGCTTCACTACCTACTATAGCAGTTTTTGACAACTGCTCAACTTCTTTGTGCCTCAATTCTTTACCCAATAATAACAGCTCTTATCTTGAAGAGTTGTTGTGAAGATTAAATGAAATAAAGCATATAAAGAATATAACTCAATCAAAACTAATTACTGGTCCTTGCATTGTCTTAGTCTTGTGTAGCAAATAGCAGACAGGAGGTTTCAATAAGCATTTGCAGAATAAATAAATGATGCTTATTTTAGCACTGCACAGTGTTAGTAGCTCTGAAAATGGCCTTGGAATTCTCCAAGGAAAATACTCACTGAAATCAGTGTTATCTTGTCAAAAAAATGTGTCCTCTGACAATGGGAATCAAATGCGTGCACCTCATTGGTGAGGTGTAGAGGATGCAGGGGCAGGTTCCCTAGGCTTACACCCTGCCCCAGCTGATAACTGTGTGATACATGAATGAGCACCTACTTAATTTTTCTGTGCCTTATTTTCCTTACGGGTAAGGCCAGGATGGCAATAGAATTTAATGTTCAGACTCCAAAAGGTGTGAAGTTTCCACATGTCAGTTTAACTAAAGTGCTTAGCAAAGGGCCTACCGTCCTGTCAGTGCTCAAATAAATGTTAGCTGTTATTCTCTGGCTCAGTTTGGAAGACTTACAATTGCTTCTACTCAATTCACTTGGGGGCGGGGGGCGGGGGTTGGCCTTTGTAAAGTGAACCCTTCTAGTTTGTAATTAGGGAAGAAGATAAAGCAGAGCTCTTGGCAATTTCCTGCCTATGAAACCCATGTTTTATGAACCATGGAAAGTACCCCAGATTTCTTGTCAACCCCACCCCAGCAAACCGACAAACTCTGGTGTTTCCCACCCACTCTCTACCCTCTCCTTCTGAAAGCGAAGCAAGCGTGAGTTGCTTTGTGCTCAAATATTTCACTAGTGTACATTTCCTCCAGTTTCCACAGACTCGGCTCATGGCAGTCTTATCTACCACAGGGTCAGCCCTGCTCTCAGGCCAGTTTTCCTGTTTCAGTGGATTTGACAAAGTCAAAGGTGGGAGAGAGGACTTTAAGTGATGAAGAAGGAGCGTTAGAGGGGAGTCGCACGGAATGGTGACTGCAGTAAGCTGTAAAAGAAATCCCAAACCCAAGCCACCAGAACAGCCCATTCAGCTGCATGTGTTTATTATTTTTTAATCTTTCTTTAAATTAATTGATTGCAGTGAGAGGAAAGGGAGAGAGAGAGAAACATCAATTTGTCGCTCACCTATTCACACATCGTTTAGTTGATTCCTGTATATGCCTTGATCCGGGATCGAACCTTTAACTTAGCATACTGGGACGACTCCAAACAACCAAGCTATGGAACTGAATGTGGCAGTAAATAATCACTCATGGCCAGGACTTGCAGAGCTCTGAAAGTGAGCTGAAGTAACAAGTGACACAACCACCAGGCAAAAAGAACTTTGAAAAAGGACATTGACATCAAATCAGCTCCTGCACAGAGAAGTGCCCCACACTGGGTAGGGGGTGGGGAGAACAAATTCTCCAGGGGGGAAGTGGGTGAGAATGAGCCACATTCACACCTGCTGTTAAGAGCTACAGGGCCGCCAGAGCCTAGGGCCCCTGTCGGGGCTCAGCTGCTTTTCTCACGTGGAGTTTAGAGAGCCCCAATGTGGAAAACTTAAACCCTTTGTTTTGTTTTGTGTTGGAGAGCTGAGCCTACAAAGGGAAACCCAGATCACACACAGCAAATTCTGTGTAAACAGGTGTTACCTGATCTCTTCATGCAAAATATCTTCTTGGTTGCTACGGGTCAAACCAACTCCTTGAGTTGTTTATTCCTTCAGCTATTGTACAGTAAGCATGGCCCAGGAACAGTGCAAGTTGCTAGAGTTATAAAGATGAGTAAAGCTACACACTTCCGAATTCCAAGGTGCTGATATTCTAAGGAATGAGGAAGGGAAAATAAAGACAAACCTGGCTCATTAGCAAAGGTAGCGAGGTGGGGGCCGTGGTAGAGGTGATGGCTGTGGTGATGGTGGGCAGCTTTGGGGGTCAGGCGGGCCTGGCTGCCCTACCTCACAGCTGTTGGACCTCAAGGAAAGGGTCTCACACTGCTGTTTCTAACTTCCAAAGTTAACAAATAGTATATTTGAAGAAACTGCTGATTATTAGGTGCTCAATTAAAGGCTGTTTAAGTTGTATAGACAATAGTTAAGAGTCCAAAGCCAGCCTAGCTCAGGTTCAAACTTCAGCTCTAAACTCACTGGCAGTGTCATTATGGATAAATCACATAAAGTCTTTATGTTTCAGCTTTCTTGTTTCTGCAGTGTGAGTGATAGTAATAATTAAACCTACCACCCAGCAGGACACTGAGCTCAAATGGCTCAATGCATGTAAGTACTTAGAATGGCCCAGCATCTAGGAAGCCCTATGAAAGTACTAACTTTTTAACTGTAATAAAATGTGATATGCTCTATAACAATGCTATTAAGTATGGTGTAGACTACTGTGCACTATCACATTTTACAGCTATAGATAGCCAGACACTTATATAATATTTTGCTAAACAGAAAAAAAAAAAAAGCATGTTGACCAAACAGTGGTAAAAGGTAAACCAGAAAGACCGGAAGAACACACACGACAATGGCGGCTTTGTCTCCGGGTGGTAGGGTTACAGGTAAGTCATTTTCTTCTTTTTTCTAAGTTGTGTTTTATAAATGTTTAACTATTTATTATTGGTTTATGAATTTTAAAACTTTTATATGAAATATAAGAAAGTTGGATTATTAAAAGTTGCCTAGAGCCCAAATAAAGGTGTCAGCGGAGGCAGGGGGTGGATTTGGGGATCAGACAGGCCTGGCTGCCCCGTTACACAGCTGTGTGACCTCAGGCAGGATTTTCACACTGCCGTTCCTGATTTCCAGAGTTAACGAAGAAGATATTTAAAGAAACTGCTGATTAGCTCTGTCAGGGAAGGATTCGCTGGGAATGGAAACTATGAGCTAGGACTTCGAATATATAAAGATTGGCACAGAGTTGCATGGGAACAAGCTCCCAGGAACTGCCTTGATTATGTGTTACTTGATTATATTAGAAAACCATGCAGTGATAAGTACATGGGCTAAGTGGGCCATTAATGCTAGCGAAGAGGCTTTCTCTGGTCACTGAAGAGCAGGGTCCATACTTAATGTTCACTTGTTTTCCTCTTTTTGAGGTATCTGGTGGAAAGTTTGGCTTCTTCCTCTTTCTCTCCCTCTTTCTCTTTTTCTCTGTATGAGTTCAGATATTTTTTTTGTGGGATCCAGTCTACCTAGGGACAACTTTAAATCTTTGTGACAGAACCCACAGAATAGATGCTGATTATATTTCCTACTTTGTAGAAGCTGACAGGGAGTGGAGAGCTGTGTTGCCCTCCCTGTCACAGGTTAGTGCCAGTGTAAGTCATCTCGTGTACACTCAGAGCTGACTCTTTCCAAGGAAGTGGGTGATGCAGCACGACATCCAGCTGAGAATGGTTCTATTTTTCTGGCTCTTTCTGTGCCTCACTGAGATGTCAGGACTCTACAGAGAGACCAGAATGTGCCACAGGCAGAGCCGGGCAGTCCAGGGCCCCGAGCAGTCATTCAGATCTTGTGAGCGCCGGCCCACACCTTCTAAGCCTTCTGTCCCTGGAGTCAACAGCAATGACTGGAGAATGTCTCCAACTTACCCAGATATGTTTCTGGAGAGAAAATTTGGCGGTGGGGAGAGAAGCAGCTTCCTTCCTCTCCCTACCGCCTGGCCTCTTCCTCAGCCCTCTGCTCTAATTTCTGGCCAAGCTCAGCATTGTTAAGAAGACAAGGAGAGGTCTTTGCACTGTTTAGTCTACTTTTAATTATTTCAATACGGAGACCATCCCTGGCCACCAGGCACAAATTGTCCATTCTCTCCTCACTCTTTTTCTGGGTATTGGTTATGTAGTTTGACTGGGCCAGGTGCAGCCAGAAACTTGTTAGGAGGTCCAAGTTTTCCCAGAATTTATAATCCACCCAAAGAAAGCCCCTGGGGGAATCTCCACAGCTCTTTCCATGGTTATGCCTCTGAAGACACTGCAGTTGCCCTGTTCCCCTGGGCTGCATTGGCTTCCTCAGTGTGTTGGTCCTGTCTCCTCCCTGACCTTTCCCCTCCTGGGCATGAAGGAGACTCTAGCTCTGGAGCCGCGCTCTGAGTTCAGATATGACCTGCTGGCTGTGTAACCTAGAGCAAATTACTTAGTGAGGCTGATCCACCATTTCCTTTGTTAACATATGGGATTAGTGAAATACAACAGAGAAAGACAAACACTGTATGAACTCACTTATATATAGAATCTAAAAACAAAAACCTGAACTCATATATACAGAGAACAAATTAGTGGTTGCCGGAGGCAGGGTTGTGGGGAGGGTGTGAAGTGGGTGAAGGTAATCAAAAAGTACAAACTTCCAGTTATAAAAAAAGAAGTCCTGGAGATAAATAATGTACAGCATGATGACTGTAGTTAATAATACTGTACTGTGTATTTGAAAGTTGCCAAGAGAATAAATCTTAAAAGTCCTCATCACAAAAAAAAAAAAATTGTTACTATGTGTGGTGATGGATGTTAAGTAAACTTATTATGCTATTTACTTTATAATATATCCTCATACATATATCAAATCATTATGTTGTACACCTAAAATTAATACAATATAAATGTCAATATATCTCAATTTAAAAAAATTGGAGTAATAATTTATCTAACTCACAGTGCTAGGAAGACCCCAAGGAAGGAATGATTATATTTGTTATGGAAGGTAAGAAAAATGAAGTAACAAAATTTATCTAACAAAGAGCACCTAATACAAAATCTGAAACATAGTAATAATTGGATATATCTGCATCTTTTCCTCATTTCCTGTTCTCTTTTGCCATATACCAAGTACATGCATAAGATCCTTTTTGTTTCAAAAGTTTTACTATTAATAGCTACAGGGGCACAACAAAGGGCTGCATATTCAGTATAACAACCACGGGGAATTTTTGCAGCTTAATAAACGACACCACATTCTGGACTCCCTTGCAGAGAGAAGAATTCAGCTTCTCTTGGACTTTGGCTTTCAGACCTCACAATTCTCTTCTCAGAAAACACACCTGAAGACCCAGTAGGTGTTGACTTGCCCCATCCTTTCAGGTGTCCTCGTTTCAACAACAATAGGCACAGTTTTCTTACCACTCAGTATGAGCAATTATAGATGTTACATCATTGTAACCTTACAATTCCAGGAGGCAGGTTACATGACCCCCACTTATAAGTTAGGAAACTGAGACTCAAAAAGTCTAAATGCCACCATAAGTCACACAATCTTGTCATTCTGGAGCCACAGTACAGGCTGAGATACCTGTGGCTCCAAAGTCCATGTCATTGAGTCTCTCACTGTGGTGACTTGGCGCAACAATAGGAACAGTTGTGAAACCCTTGACTTTAGAAGCCTGTGATCCAAGGGCAGAAGGGTCTGGAAACTTGGATGTCTCAGGAACCCTCTGGCTTCACACCCCAAACAACTTCAGAATACATCACTGACATCTAAGTCATCAAAACTGAAGTCAAAACCCATTCCTCGGAAGTTTCCTCATCTATAATACGAAGTCACTGAGTACAGAACGAAAGCCATCTTGGCAAGGAAAGCAGTGACAGTATCTTGAAGGCTGATGAGAGAGGTCAGATAAGGAGGCTCTCAGACGAGGAGTGCTGACAGCTTGTCTTCCACGTGCTGAGTTCTGTGCCATCAAATGTTGAGACTCTAGAATGTGCAAGGCAGGGTACAGGGGAAGAGGCAGAGCTAGAAGACCGAATAAAATTTTCATGAGTACTCATATAATTTCCCTGGCTTTGTGTTTCCCGTACTTTTTAAGGGGAAAGTACACTATTTTGTAGTCTTCCCTTCCCTGTGCCACAGAACGCCATAGTATTGAAGCCATTCAGTACTGAGGACTTGGCAGCTTCTAAAGGTCATGTCACTGGTGGGTGCAGTTGGAGTTGAAGTAATTGCAGACATGCAGGCAGATATCCAGGGGGTCAGCAGGGCCCAGCCCCAAGCCAGAGGGGAACCCACAGTTTCTGGAGCAGGACGGGGAATAAGAGCCCAGAGAGGAGACTGAATGAGGAACAAAAGGATCACGCAGAGCTCTGGAGAAGTAGCACACTTGCCCTTTGCACCTGAGACATCTTCAATAAGGCAGTGGTGAACTAAGAACACACACTGATGGCTTACTTTGAACTCAGCACTATGATCTTTGCTTTATAGAGGCCCTTAGGCACCATGGAATAAGAAAGGCCCCATTTATCCTAACTCTTCTACCAACTGGCTTTAAGAAATTGGGAAGATCATTCAATCTCTCTGAGTGGTTATTTCATCTATACAATTGGAATGATGTCATTAATTAAGCCCATCACTATTGATTGAAGACCTATTATATGTTAAGCATTATAAAGGCTGACATACACAGGTAGATTAAAATAAATCAGTGTCTCATAAGCAATTCTGGGGATATAACATTCAGCAATAGTCAATGTATTGTAAACGTGAAAGTTGCTAAAAGAGTAAATCTTCAAAGTTCTCATCACAAAAGAAAGCTGTAACTATGTATGATTAACTAGACTTATGTGACACTATATATGCAAGTATCAAATCATTGTATTGTGCACCTTAAAGTGGCCTCAAACCCAGCACTGGCACTGAGTTTGTACCTGTAGTAATCTGTTGAACACCACTCACCCCTACCTGGTGACTCACTGAAAACCTATCTCATGCAACTCAAGGTTGCATGAGGTTCTTTCATTGACTGAGCCTAACAGGCAGCTGACAGGTGGAGGCAGGAGGAGGCAAATCTCCAGGTTCCTTGGGCCTTTTCTTGGCCCAACCCTAGGCTTGCTGCTGGTAGAAGCCAGCCTTGGTGCACAGCTTGGTCTTTCCCATGCACACCCAGTCCCAGCAGAAGCAGCCACACACTGCGAATCACTTTGTAGCTCCAAACAGGTTGGCTAGGGCCAAACACAGGAAACATCTGACATTGACCTGCACCAGAGTCCCTCCCAAGAGGACCCAGAACCAATGTACCCAGTATCAAGCTTCAGACAACAGAGTAGGATTCCAATAGCTACACAAGCAGCACATCCAAAGGGAGATCTCAGAGGCATCAGACCCTACTGAGATGAATTCTGCTTTGTCGACCCCATGCATGAATAAGCTATTAGCAATCAAGACTCAACTACAACAGGGGTGCTCACATAAATCATACAAAGGATATTCCTGGAACACCCAGTTCAGGAGATCAAGAAGACTACACCACTGGATCTCATAGGACACCTACTACATAAGGCTATCCTACTAATACTGGGAGACATAGCAGATCTACCTAATATACAGGAACAGACATAAAGAGACACCTAAAATGGGAAGACAAAGAAACATGCCCTAAATGAAAGAAAAATCTCCAGAAAAGAGCTAAATGAGATGGAGACAAGCAATCTACCAGATATAGAGTTAAAAAAATAAAAGTAGTTGTAAGGATGCTCAAGTTACAAGAGTTGTAATGGAAAAAATAAAATAAGAAGACGGTTGAGAGAGAAAGATGAGGAATAGGAGCAATGAAAGAGGAGGAAAAGCTCCTATCTAATTA